TTTCTGTGGTTGAATAAATTGTGTCTTAATATAACATATAATCTGTAGCAATCAAACCATGTGACGGATGGATTGCAATTATTCATCCTTGCTTACCCTATAATACTATTATTTATTATTTTTTTTAAAGATTTATGACATCAAGAGTAATATGAGTGAAAAACAACTGTTTGAACCTTACAGAGATCCTGTTGAAATAAGATCTAAGATCAAGGAGAGGAAAAGCAAGTGGAACTTCCGGAACCTTTTCCTTCTTGCGACTGTTGTGTTTGCAGGCTTTATTTGCACTAACAGGATCATTCCGCTTGCTCCAGTGGTAATTGAAAAAGGAGATCATTCAAAGGTATTTTTGAAGGCATTGGAGACGAATTTGGCTGGTAATTGGTCTAGAAAGTACACTTCTGAAGCCCATTTGCCTGGTACTAATTACGGGTTTGTTGAATGGACCAAGAATAAGTTCGAGGAATATGGATTTAAAACCTGCATTGATTCATACGATGTTTATGTCAGTTATCCATTTCAACATGATTTGAAGCTTTTGGATGCTAAGGGCAAACACACGTTGTATGTGGCTCCATTGAAGGAGGATGAGCTCAAAGATGATAAAACCTCTACGGGGGAGGACTTGGTTCCTACTTTCTTATCTTACGCAGCCAATGGCAATGTTACAGCACAGTATGTTTATGTAAACTATGGTACTAGGGAAGATTTTGCTACACTTGATTCGTTAGGGGTTAGTGTGAAAGGAAAGATTGTTATCGCGAGATATGGCCATGTCATGCGTGGTTTGAAAGTTAAATTCGCCCAGGAGAATGGTGCTGTTGGTGTTTTATTATACAGCGACCCTGGAAATGACTATGGTATTACTCCTGCTAATGGTTATAAGCAATACCCACATGGCCCAGCCAGACATGAGAGTGCTGTTGAGAGAGGAAGTGTTCAATTTTTAGGCGGTGTTGGAGCAGCTCCTGGAGATCCAACCACTCCAGGTTATGCATCCAAACCAGGAGTTGAGCGTAAGGACCCACATAATAGTATTGGTAAGATTCCAGCATTACCAATCTCTTATCGTGAAGTTAGTCCGATCTTGGAAAAACTAAATGGATATGGCAGTAATATCTCAGATGAAAAATGGAGAGGTGAACTTGAAGGATTTGATTATTCCACTGGTCCTAACCCAGAAGTGAAGTTGAATTTGTACAATAACCAGATCTACAACATTAGCCAGTTACACAACGTCTATGGGGAAATCGAAGGAGAAAATAAAGATGAAGTAATTATCATTGGTAATCATCGTGATGCATGGATAAAAGGTGGTGCAGGCGATCCTAATTCAGGTTCTGCAGCTCTTTTAGAGATTGCTAGAGGCTTAGGAGAGTTGAAGAAATCTGGATACAAATTCAAGAGAACTATCATCTTGCAGAGTTATGATGGTGAAGAGTACGGTTTATTGGGCTCAACAGAATTCGGAGAATTCGCAGCAAAGGATTTAAAGCGCAAAGTTGTAGCTTATTTGAATGTTGATGTCGCAGTTGTTGGTCGTCAATTAAAGTTGGGAGCATCTCCAGTTTTAAATAATATCTTGCGGAAAGTTGCAAAGACTTTGGACTATCCCGGCGAAGAACCAAAATCATTATACGATCATTTTGTACAGAAATCTGGAGATAAGATTCGCAATCTTGGATCTGGTTCTGATTATACTGTCTTTTTGGAACATTTGGGGATCCCATCTGTTGATATGTCTTTTACTCAAAGTAAAGGTGACCCAATTTATCAATACCATTCAAATTATGATTCGTACCATTGGATGGAAAAGTATGGTGATAAAGGATTTGTTTTCCATAATTTGTTGGCTAAGTACTTAGGTTTAGTCGCATTAGAATTGAACGAGAGACAACTAATTGACTTTAAGTTGGATGACTATTCAAAAGATTTGTTGAAGTACTATAACGAGACAATAGATCTTATCCCTAAAAAATGGCTCCACAAACATTTAACCAATAATAGTAATTGGGATGAATATCTTACATATGATTTTCAAAACGAGAGATCGATTATCGAGGACTCAAATGGCTACTATTCACACCAATCTTTATACCCATTCCCAGAATTTTTAAATCCAACCCAATGCAAGCATAGCAAGATACATGTTATGTATGATTTGAAACACCATAAGAACGCTACTTTAAAAGAGTTTGTCAAGAGAACTTACGAAGATTTATTGACGTTAGAGAATAAAACAACTGTTTTCGATGCAGAAACAGAGACTCTTCAAATCAAGTATGATAAGAGAGATTCGTTGCATTGGTGGCAACGTATCAAATTACATTTCCAAATTAAGAAGCACAATAAGCTTCTTCAATATTTTGAAAGAAACTTTTTGTATCATAAAGGTTTAGATGAAAGATCTTGGTTTAGACATATCGTATTTGCAAGTGGCAGGTATACTGGTTATGCTGGTCAAACTTTACCTGGATTGAAAGAAGCCATTGAAGATGGTGATGTTGATCGTCTAGTTAAATGGCTAGGAATTGTTTCTAAATCCATAAGAAGAGTTTCTACACAACTCTCTTTATAGTAGGGTGAGAAAACTTTTAAAAATTTACAAACTGATTTCAAATTTTTTGTTTCTATGTTAACTCCTTTTAGATATATCGCATCTTGCTGTTGCTTAGATAGATATATATGACGTAAAATTATATGGTATTTTTTTCAACTTTGAATTGTAGCAATTGTAGAACAATTTCACCTAAAATTCGGGTCGCAGGTGAAAGTCTTATCAATGAGATGGCACAGATGACTAATTGTTCAATAAGTCATTTTACAACCTTTGCAACTTGTTTCCTCAAGCAAGCTTTACTTTAATTAACCAAATTTGTAACATTCAACATAACTCAACTTCTAAATAGCCATTAACGATGGAACGAAAACTTATCACTTCAGGTTCAGAATTCGAGGAACAAATTGCTTATTCAAGAGCAGTCATAATTGGGCAAATGATTTTTGTTTCGGGAACCACAGGATATGATTATAATACTATGAAAATTTCGGACAATGTGATAGATCAAGCAGACCAAGCTATAAGAAATATCGAGAGTGCTTTGGTAGATGCCGGTTCTTGTTTACAAGATGTGGTAAAAGTCACATATATATTACCAGAGGCTGGTGAGTTCGAAAAATGCTGGCCAGTATTAAGAAAATACTTTGGGTTCATAAGACCAGCAGCTACAATGATATCGGCCAACTTATTAGATACGAATATGAAGATTGAAATCGAGGTAACAGCATTAAAATCGCAATAGATGACATTTCGCAGCTTGATGAGTCTTCAAAGAAAGAGAAACTATGTATGCAAGTTTAATGCATGGCTCATAGACATTAAAGAGGCATTTTAATGTAGTGAAGAAAGCTGCTTGCTCACCCCTTTTTGGCCCCTATTGTAATTTGATGGATTATGTGAATAATGAAAGCTTGACTAAGGTGGTGCCCCATGCCTCTAGATTTAGTTATTTAGTTCTATTGTCGAATTTCAATAAAATAAATGAAAATAAATGTAAATAAATGTAAATGAATTTTAATATGGTACCGCTTGTTATCTTATCAATACTATGAACTAAAGTTTTACGGGCTCTCATCACACCTATTTCAGCATGTAGGGTCCTATTGCTATCCGTATTTATGATGTGCGCACAGGCTCTATCTAATAATAACGCAAGAATACTATTATTATTTCTCGTATTTCTACTTTTGAACTACTTAAGACAAAGGTGTTTAAGTTCTCTAGGCGAGAGGCTACCGTATTAGTGATTTAAACTTTCCACTAACAATAGTACCACAATTCTAAAATCATGACTCTATTTTCCCCATACGACTTCCTTTGGCACATTCTTTGTACATGGAAACATGTACATAATTAACCCAATACGGACATTAGAATAGGTTTTAGATCATTCAGGATGAGGCTTTATATGGGTGTAGGTTGTTTTAGAGGTGCCTCACTTTTGATGAGACATCTTAAATAGTATATGAATTAGAACACTGAGCAAGCCTGCGTTTCAGTATTGCATATATCTCATTTATTTACTATAAAGTAACATGCGTTGTGTGTATCCATGTAACGATCGTTCTCTAATCTGTATCATGCCCAAGAATTGAAAGTTTAAAATGCTGGTATTTATATGGCTGGTATTTATATGACTTGTCAATACAAAACAATTTAAAACTGGAAATATAAAGTATAATGTGGAACCATTCTAGAAAAAAGATTTAACTTGAATGTAAGAAGTATGTAATTCAAAATGAATGAGAAAAGAAAGTCAAAACTATCAATTATCAACAATATAATGAAACCAATCTCTCCTCCACGGAGAAGACATAGTAATGAAACATTGGGGGATCCTATAAAGATATCTCGCAATACTGTAATTCCACCACCACTTACATTTCCAAAGATCCCTCAACTTGAGGGATATAGCATAAGCGATCATTCAAACCCAGAAAGGGGCATTAGGAAAAAAAATTTCGCTGATGACAGATGTGTTTTCTGCGAAGAATTGTTATCTAATAAGCTTGCAGGAGAATTGGGCTTACAATTAACCTGTTCTCATTCTTGTCATAAGTATTGTTTCCTTGAAATGATGGACAAAAATAATTTGGAGTCGCTACCATTTTGCACCCAATGTGAGAAAAAAACTCAGTGCGTCGATGCTTCCATTCAGGCCAGTATCAAGCACCAAAAGCTAGCTGAATCCCTCTTTCCAAACAATTTCGACAAGGAGCACAGTCCATTTGATACAATGTCACACTTGAAAGATTACGACACGTTAGTCAAGTCTTCTGTAAGTGCTAATGAGTCACAATTATTATCACCAATATCAACTCCTACAGGGAATTTCTACAACGAAAAATTGTACAACGAAATTCTCAAACCAAGGATTACAGTTACCGCAGATGCTGCTAGTCAAGTGACTGATGGAGAATATGACTTAGATTGTTTAATAAGTGTAAAACCTTCCCAAATTTCGAATTGTGTGAGTGATTCATCTGAGGATCAAGCGATCAAATCAAGGATAATTCAAAATATTAAAGTAAAGCTAGCCTTAAGAGTTAATAATTGGAGTGATTCATTGTTACCACTTGAAGAATTAGGAGATTTGAGGATGTTTGACTTTTTAGAGATAAGTAGTAATGGCTCTGACTGGGACAATATATCGGTTTATTTTTTTGGAAATGCAATTATTCTAGTTGATTATAATGGGACTCGCCTAATGGGAGAAGTGCTAATTAACAGTGATATAAGCAGCATAAACAGAATTGAGAACGTACTTGTTTTGAATTTAAGCAATGAAGCTCTTCCTGAACTTTATATGAGACATAGTTGTTCGCTAATTATATCCAAATGGGAGTATTATTTAATTCAAGCAGTCAAAAAAATTCTGGTTGGACAGATACCTCTACTTCATACAACTACGAATGCTTGGGAATTACTAGATGAGTGCAACAGATCGACGGATGGTCTCAAATTTTGCAGCCTATGGGAGAAAAATTTAGATGTACCATCGTCTTTGCTAAGGAGAATCATGCCACCGGCAGAAAATATTCCAATGAATATGAATGTTTCCATATCATTGATCAATTGCACAGATCTCAGCAATCTTGAATATAAGAAGAATATAATATCACTACTTCAAAATCTCAGATCAAAATTGAGACCTATTGATAAACTTGGTTTAATTTTCGTTGGAGTAGATGGACATGGAAAACCTTCGAACAGCGGAACTTTTATAGGATGTGTTAGTCCATCATGGGATGGCTGGGAGAATATCATAAATGATATTAGAGTTTTTGCAAATGAAGATGACAGACAATTCCCAATATTCGATAATGGATTTGAAGAAATGCTAATTAGCTTTGAAAAGTACAAAAAGTTATTGCCATATATTCCCTCGGGGCCCAAGAATAACAATAGGCTAATAATATTGAATTCCAATAATTACGATCTTACAGAACCTCAAAGGTTTATTAAATCTAAAATTAATGATAAGATCAGTTTTTTGCAAGCTAATGAAAATTTAACTATTGATATAATAAGGATCGGTAAATCATACTCAATAGAGGCACAGGAAGTCTACAATTTAATTTCTATGCCAACTCAATGTAATGACTCTTTAAATATTGTATCAGGATCAAAATTGCTAAGGTTTAATTCATTTTCAGAGTTTGGGGATTCTTTTGATTTCATAATGGAGCATAGCCTTCAATCAGGATATATACCATATGTGACAATAGACTTTCAGAAAGTTAGTGGTATAGAGAGCTTAATTTCATTTTCTGAAATTGAGATGAATGGAGAAATGGTATCAATTCAGAGTAATTTAACAAAGTTGAGAATTGTTGTTAAGAATGTTTTCCCTCTGACAGAGCGTAATATAATGATGAAGTTAAAATTGAACTTTTCGGAAGTATCTAATCTAGGAAACATTATGAATTATAAAATTATTAATTACCACAGTCTGTGGATGGAAGGTGAAGATGATTTTAAGTGTTTGAGGACAAAATTTAATGAGACAGGCAGCCCACATATTCTTTTCTCTCATGAATCTGATGTCTCTTGTTCCCCATTAGATCAAATAGATGGAGACACATATTTCGTTGACATACCATTGCTACCACCATTATCTTCTTCTAAAGATCAGAGTTTTGCCAGAAGAAAAACAGAGCTCGCGATTATCAGATCTCTTAGGATAGTGGAATCCGCATCAGCTGATGAAACGGAGATTATCATAAGCCATTTGATATCGTTAGTCTTTGGAATTATCAGAGGATTTGAAATAGAACCGGGAGAGTCATATAAAATAATAGAACTGAAGTGCTATTCAGAAAGACGTAAATCGTTCATGCTTCATTTTGAAAATTTTAATAATAATAAGAAATATATTCAGTGTTTGGTAGAAGAGCTTGAATCAATTAATGATTTGTTTAAACGAGATCCATGTTCTGCTTCAATTAGATGTCAAGACTTTGCTAATTGGATAATATGACCTCATGGACCATTATTAACAGATTTCGGTAATTTAAGCGGGTATTCTACATATTGTTCCATAGATTTTACATCGTATATACTAGCAAAAAGAATATTTATGAATTACCTAATTAGGAAAAGTAATGAAATCAAGAGTTTTTCGCATGCATTATGACTGAAATTTTCAATGGCTGGCTAGTTTTGTTTACCATTTGAATCATGGTAACCCTGCTACGATGCTACGATGTAGAGAAACCTGCCTGTGTTACTCCCACAGTATAATTATATATAAAGAGATGAGCATATTTATCCAGACAAGAATATTTTAGGAATTTATAAATTATCGATTCAAAATGTCTCTTCAACATTTCCATAGTGCTCCATTCGCTCTTGCATCATTTTCATTAATACAATTTGGAAGCGTAATTGCTGATAATCTTGGTGGTTTAGATAGCGATGGATCTGGATCTGACAATAATAACAACGATTCATCGCCAAAGGATAAGACAACGGCTACAGAGAATACCAAAGCTGATCATGATACAGCCAAAAATACCGATAAAGCTACAAATACAGCTACGGACACAAAGGATACAACCGTTACGACGGATGCTACACAACAAACGACTCCAAAAACTGAGACAAACACTGCCACTACCGCTACTAACACTGGTAAAGTCACCTACAACCAATGGGGATTCACAGGATCACAATCAGTTTGGGGCGAGGAAACAAAAACGGTCACTTCAGGCTCCTCGGAATCTAGTTCTGCATCTCATTCTACTCATTCTGTCAAAGGGAACAAAACATCAAATGCGAATAGAATTAGTGATAACATAGTTGGCTATGAGGGTTCTAAATGGAAAAAAACAATTCTAATAGCTAGCGTATTAGGAATAAGTGCATGCGTTGGTGCTTTATAGGCTAGTTATAGATTAGGTTCATATATATATATCGGTAAATGCATACTAGGATGAATTTGATTTTGTGAGCTTTTTGCTAACAATGCGTACGATGATATTTTTTTTTTATTTGAAATCTTTCTTTATCTATCTGAACTGTATTAGAATATTAATGGTGATCACTGATAAGGAGTCAGGTAATGGCTCTGTTACACCCATAAAAATAAACAACGCACCTTATTTTAGAAATTTAGAAAGTTTAGAACCGAATGGACAGCAGTATTATGATAAAATTATAAATAACTACATCCTGCAAATTTCGAAACAAAGTAGGCTACATAATCCCTCGAGCCTTGCCATTTTAAAGGAAGGAATGAAAATTGTTTATGGTCGCAGAAGCATTTTGTTTTGTATAGATGTCGAAGCATGGGAGGTAAATACAAAAGTAGTGACAGAATTGGGTATTGCAATTTTCGATCCTAGGAAACAAGGCAATGCTTTAATGCCTAATATAACACTGATTCATATTATCATAAAAGAAAACATGAGGCGAAAAAATGGAAGGTTTGTGCCTGAACATTCACGTAATTACAATGGTAAAACGACTTACATATTATCTGAAATAGAAGCAGTCAAATTCATACAGAGCCTTATCCAGTACTATTTTATCGATATTAGACATAAAAGACAATGCTATTTAGTTGGGCATGATGTAAGAGGTGACATTCAGTGGATGCTGAAACTAGGTATCCATTTTCCAGCAGACACAAGTTCTTTAGATACGCAGAAAATTTATGCTGCGAGTCATGGCATGAATGGAGCTAGTTTGAAGAACGCTTTGCGATCTGCAGACATTCCACATGCATTTCTTCATAATGCAGGTAATGACGCATACTATACGTTGGTTCTTGCTTTAAGGTTATGTGATCCTCAGAGTAGAGCTTTGAGTACATTAGATAAACCACATCCAATATTGCCAAAGAAGAAATTAAGGCCAAATTGTAGCGAAGGAGAATTTATTGATAGTGCTGAAGCATTGATATCAAGACTATATGTACAGGAGTATACACATGACGAAGTTCATGAGAGCAATGGTGAAGAGGTTTAGTTGTAACATTATTATCATGTATTTTTAATTATAGAGTATTTAATAAATGCTATTCATTTGATCTAACAAGATTCTCTCGAATTTTTCGTTTAATTCATTTACTCTAAGTAGTAAACCAGCGCACAAGCTCTTGATTCTATCATCGATAAGATCTTCCCATATTAATGACAACCACCTATGAAAAATGTCTATTTCATTATGATAGTACAGCATCAAGTATTGATCGTCCAGAATATCGCAAATTAATAAAATACCAGTAACAATGCTTTCAATTATTTGCAATTCATCCAAACTGATTTTCTGGATAAGGGGTGTAACTATCAGAAAAAATTCTTTTATCATATCATTTAGATTAATAGCAGTTGGATATGCTGCATGCAATAAGAGGGCCAATGTTTTTATATAATGTGCTGTGAGAATGGGTGAATAGTGCCCAATGTCAATTTGCCCACCAACTTCATACCAAATACTAACTAGAGGCAAATAAAATTGAGATCCAATTATTTTGGAAAAGTTCTTAACTATAGGGGACATAACTTCTTGTTTTGGTTTTTTCTTTAAATTGCTTGACAAACGTAATATTTTTCCACCGCTGAGTTTATTTTGAGCTTCTTCTGACGCATCGTACATTATCTCACCTTGTAGCGATTCATATGCTGGGTTAATTCTTTTCTCACCTATATATTTGTCGTCTTCCAGCCCCAAAGATAAGAACTTACTGTGGAGAGAACCAGGTAATATCTTTGAAGGAAATTGCTTTTCATTATAAGACCGTGTCACAACTTCATCTTTAAACCCTCTGAGTTCTCTAACTGCGAGAGAAGTTGCAGATAATATACACATACGTTGCTTTAAAGAATAATCACCAGTCAAAAGTAGTCGATACAAATGTAAAGTACAAGATGGATTAGCCGCAATAATAGCTATTAAACAATTTAGCCTAAGATCCTCAAAATCATTATCTTCATAGTTATTTGATAGTCCAACAAGTTGTGTGACCAAATCTTCTGCATAGAATGATACTTCATTACCAAAGCTTGATTTTTGTCTTAGTAATGTTGGTCCATTAATTAATGCTGAACGTCTTTTTTCATAAGCTTGAGGCAGGTTACTGTCGACTGTAAGATATTCAAGAATATCTTTTATATATAATGGCTTAGCGATATAAGGTTTTCTAGAAATAGTTGGGTCGTCTTCTTCATCACTTTCGAAGTCAGATTCATCATCCGAATCCAATTTAGATATCGATATTGTTTGCACCTTTTTAACTAGATCAGATTTATCGCTATTTAAATCTGTGGAGTTTTCAATGACTTCTGGCTCATTCAAATAATTCCACGCTTCTTCAATTGTCATATTCTCAACGCTAGTTTTATACCTATAGGCTTCATTACTGATTAAAAAATCATAACCTTCAATATTATCTAATTGAAATATCTTTTCATGTCCTCCAAATTCACAAACCTTATCGGCTAAAATTACACCTAAAGATTTTACATTGTTTGAAAACGAACTTAGTCTGTTCGAAATGGCCCTTAAAAAAATAGGATTTTTGAGCACATCTTGGGTAAAGCTAACTTTCTTCACGCGTGAAATTAGCAGAATAATCAAATGTGTTCTATATTCCTGCAAAGAAATAGCTTCACTTTTCATTAGATCTTCATCTGCCCATGTTTTGAGTAGAGTTAAAATCAATTGGTAGAAATTATCATCTGGTGAATTTGAAAGCAAAATAGACACTAACAAATTAGCTTCATAATTACCTATAGCAATAATCTTATTTAAGAAGTTTTCATCTACTAAGTCATTTTCAATCATTGGGTGTAATACGAAAGCTAACGATAATAACTTTTCAATTGAAATATTCGTTGTAAGATACTTTTTTGTCAAGAAATTTCGTATCAATCGTAACAAAAAAGTTTTCTTCTCAAATCTCTTCATATACTTGAAAGCCTTTAATGCATAAGGCCAATTACCTTCATTAAACATTAAATCAAGATACTGTGCCGAGCTACTTGAATTAAATGAACCCAATGAGGCAATAAATACATTGATTGTTTTTATGTCTATATTATCTTTAAACAAAGCCAATACTTCAATATTCAAGAATCCCACATAGTTATCAGAACATGTAAAAATTTGATTACGAGAATGAATATCATAATTTGAAACAACTTCATTCACTATTGCAAAACATTTGCCTTTGAATAATAGTTTATCTATTTCTTTAATTTCTGAAGGACTTTTTGTTGACTGTGCCATGTTTGATACTAGACCTGTGTCAAAGCATCTTGTAAGAATCAGAATCAATGTTTCCAACAAAGTAAAAGAATCATGACCTTTTGAATTATCTTTAAGCAAAGAAATTTTACTGATTAAGTTCCCTAAACCAGTTACGGATTTGAATACACATATAATTAATTCTTTTGTTGTATCTGGAAGTAAATTGTAGGTTTCAGGGATGGTAAAATTCAACAACGTAGTAACTAAACTGAAGTTAGTATTCAGATCTGATGGTTTATTGAGAATTGATATTAGAATCGATTCAATATCCTGTGCTGTTGGATGATTTTTAAGTTCAAAAACCCTATCATCTATTATAGAATGATCCATAGCTAGGCCCACCAAATAGCTATTGCCTCTACCTTTATTATCATGGACTTAAATCTAAAAAACTAACTCTGCGAAAAATTTCGTTATCGATCTTAAAGTTAGTATTGGTTGCAGTAACAGCTAACGGATCAAAAATTAACTAATGATAGAGAAAGCTTACCGGTCTTCATTGCTTATAAATAGGTTTGGATTGAATTGTACATCTGTAAACGTACTGAGATCCTTCGTTTCGAAATCTATTCAACAACAGAAGTCGAATCAAGCTACCCCGGTGCCTACTAAGATTGCAAAGAAAACGGATGATGCTAAAATAAAGCATTTGTACAAGCAGAATTTGGAAGATTATTTCAAACATAGAGAATTTAAATTTAAAGGAGAAAGTCAGCAGAAAGATCTACAGAAATGGATGGAAAGCATATATTTAAGAAAGAAAATACTCATAGCCATTGATATAGAAGCATGGGAGAGGAATATAAACAAAGTCACAGAAATTGGGATAGCAGTGTATAATCCAGATGAACAGCTGTATTCAATTTTACCAAAGATTAATCAATTTCACATCCTTATTAGAGAACACGAGAAGATGTACAATGGTAGATATTGTCCGAATAATAAAGGTAACTTCATGGGAGGTGTATCATATACACTAGAACTAACAGAGAGTAAGAAGTTCGTTGAATCTATAATCAACAAATATTCCCATGAAAGTAAAGAAGGAATAGTGTTAGTAGGTCATCATATCGAAGGTGATTTGAAATGGTTAAGAAGTATTGGGATTCAGATTCCTAGTGATGTACCCATAGTTGACACTGCAAGGATTCATAGACTATCTTACGAATCAGGTGGTTCATTAAGGGGGATATTAAGAAAAGTAGGCATCCCCCATGGTTATCTTCATAATGCAGCTAATGACGCATACTACACTCTATTAGCATCTCTTGCATATTGTGATCCCCATACTAGAATCCAAAACGAGTTAGACAAATTCCATCCTCACATTATTGACCTATCGAAGCCGTCAAATAAAGCTAGAAAGAGAAGAGAAAGAATGTATGACACTTCTATCAATATTCAACACTCAAATGCCCTGGAACTATTTAAAGAACTATTTTCAGACAATAATAAAGAGACAGAATAAAAATCCTAATAAAGCAGAGCTCATATTGATCAACAGAGTTCATGGTGGTCTATAAATAAGACAGTAATAACGAGAAAGGTGATTTATAGACCAAGTATATAATAGACTGTATATATTTTTTCAATGTAAATACACGCATCGACTACTTGGAGCTGATTTATTATTACGTCTCTCTGTATTCTTTTATAAGTAGAATCTTAGAGGGTATGTAATGGCATTTATCAGCGACTATATTTATGGCTATTACTAATATATCTAGAAACATTTTAAGAAATATGACTACCAACACTGTTAAAACTCCCGTCAAGAAAACTAGCCTGAAAGCAGCTAAGGTAGAATTTAAATATGCTCGAGATACGACATGTAAATTCAAGTTTGGTGCTCACGTTGCTATGGCAGGTGGCATTTCGAAAGCATTGACTAATGCAATGAACATTGGAGCCAACAGTTTTGCATTATTTTTGAAATCTCCAAGAAAATGGGTCTCCCCCGACATCAAGGAAGATGAAGTTGCAAAGTTTGCACAACTATGCAAAGAATATGGGTATAACCCAAGAACTGATATTTTGCCACATGGATCTTACTTTATCAATTTGGCCAATCCAGATGCTGAAAAAGAAGAGAAGGCGTATGGTTCTTTCTTGGATGATTTAAAGCGTTGCGAGAAGCTAAATATCGGATTGTACAATTTCCACCCTGGGTCCAGCTTGGATGGAGACCATAAGGAAGCATTAAAAAGACTCGCTGATAATATAAATAGGGCAATCAAGGACACGGAATTTGTGAAGATTGTTATCGAAAATATGGCTGGCCACGGCAATTTAATCGGATCGAACTTACAAGATATCAAAGAAGTAATCGACATGGTGGAGGATAAGAGCAGAGTTGGAGTCTGTATTGACACCTGTCACACATTTGCTGCAGGTTACGATATTTCAACCCAAGAGAAGTTTGATGAGTTCTTCAAGTCATTTGAAGACATCATTGGCTGGGAATACTTGAGTGCAATCCACTTAAACGACTCCAAGGCGCCATTAGGAGCCAACAGAGATTTACACCAGAAACTAGGTTACGGGTTTCTAGGACTTGAAGTATTCAGAATTATTGCCAATTGTCCTAGGCTTCAAAATATTCCTATAGTTTTAGAAACTCCTGTTGAAAAAGACGACACAGTTTATGGAGAAGAGATAAAGCTACTTGAATGGTTGCAAGACAAAAAAGCCGACGATGCAGAATATATAACCAAACTGGAGGAGTTATCGAAGCTTGGTGCGAAGGAGAGAGCAGAACACTTGAAAAAGTTTGAAACAAAGACTTCCAAGGCAGCAAAAGCAAACTCCAAGAGAGCACCTCAAGGTGACATAGGTGACATGTTGTCTAAGAAGAAAAAGACTTAGTTAGAGCAGACGTAGTTCCTTACCATATTGTTAGTAGATAAAATATATTTGCATATACACGACTTTTCAACTTTTGATGAAATGAGAAATTGTAATAAGGGCATAAACAAAAATTGATTCATGGTCATTAAACGGCGAATCAAGCTACATTAGTCTTTCAATTAAAGTCAAGTCAATTATGTTCGGTCGATCTACATCAGGATTTGGAGGATTCGGTAGTACAGGTGGTAACAATACATCCCCATTTGGAGCCGCCAATAATACTGCGACGGCAGGCACATCACCATTTGGAGGAGCTAATAATGCAACTTCTGGAGGAGTATTTGGTGCTAGCAATAATGCTAGTACTGGAGGTGGATTTGGAACAGGTAGCGCTTTTGGAGCAAACAATACCACGTCGGCATTCGGTGCACCAAGTGCACCAAGTGCACCTAGTGCACCTAGTGGAGGCATGTTTGGAGCGTCTAATACTACTTCGTCTCCATTCGGAGCTAGTAACAACAATGCCAATACTACTTCAGCTTTTGGTGCATCCAATAATATGGGAACGTCGGGATTTGGAGCACCTAATACAGGTGGTGGTTTGTTTGGATCTGCCAACAAATCGACATTTGGAGGAGGATTTGGTACTCCTACCAACAACAATACTTCACCTTTTGGAGCTTCGTCTACTTCTGCATTTGGAGTGGGAGCTGGTGCAGGAAATGTTGACCCCAACGTTAACAACGGTACTGGTGGAAAGCCCTTCACCCCATACACAGAAAAAGATTCAACTGGAACCAATGTGTTTCAAAACGTTAGTTCGATGCCTGAGTACAAGAATTTTTCATTTGAGGAATTGAGATTGAAGGATTACGAGCAGAATAGAAAGTTTGGTAATGCAAATGCACCTGGAGCTACGGCAGCAGGTGGTTTTGGAGCTTCTGCAACTGGCGGATTTGGGTTTGGTGCATCGAGTAATAATACCAATTCAGCATTTGGAGCCAATGCGGCAGGTACCTCTCCTTTTGGCGCTACAAATAATACCACTAATACTGGTTTTGGTGCTCAGAATAACAATTCTCCATTCGGATCTAGTAACACAGGTTCAGCCTTTGGTGCTGCAAACAACAATACAGCATTCGGTGGACAAAGTAATTCAGCATTTGGTGGCCAAGGAAACTCAGCATTCGGTGGTTCTAACGCATTTGGTGGTAATAGCAACACGTCTGCATTTGGTAGTGGAGGCTCCACTGCATTTGGGGCCAATAAACCAAATCCATTCGGTACATCAAATACAGGGACTTCTGGATTTGGCTCATCCAACACTGGTGGAGCTTTTGGTGCTAATAACAATTCTCCATTTGGTGGTAACAACACTTCTGCTTTCGGATCAAATGCGTCCCCGGCTGTTAACAATACCACAAATCCCTTTGGCGCCAATAACGCAAACGCCAATAGTTCACCATTTGGAACTAACCAAAATACAAATCCATCTGGAGGATTATTTGGTGGAGCTAGTAGCACAAACAATAACGCGTTTGGTGCCAATAATAATAATGCATCAGGAATTGGAGGTTCTAGTGGTGGTTTATTCGGTAGCGCACAAAACAACGCGGCCGGTGGAGCATTTGGTGCTAATAAGCCTGCAACTGGTGGTTTATTTGGGGGCCAAAATAACACCAATAATACTAGTGGTGGCTTATTTGGAGGTCAAAGCAACACCAATAATACAGGGGGCGGATTATTTGGACAAAGCAACAATACGAATAGCAATTCGGGTGGTTTGTTTGGAAATAAACCAGCAGCTCCATCTGGAGGTTTGTTTGGAAGTAACCAAAACACTGCAGCTCCTTCTTCCGGTGGGCTTTTTGGTAGTTCTGCTCAAAACAACAATACCAATACCGGTGGAGGCCTCTTTGGAGGTAACAAACCTGCCGGAACTACAGGTGGGTTGTTTGGATCGCAAAATAATGCTAATAATACAACTAATGCATTTGGCAATAATCAAAATAGTGGCACCAGTGGTGGATTATTTGGTAATAAACCAGCTGGTTCTGCAACTACAGGAGGAGGATTATTTGGAGCCAATAATAACACAGCAGGAAGCTCTGGAGGATTGTTTGGCGGTAGCAACAATAATACCGGAACAACTACATCGGGTGGATTGTTTGGAAGCAATAACAATACCGGTACTAATACATTAGGTTCTAATAATAGTACAGGCAGTGGCGGATTATTTGGAAGCAAACCAGCTACTAATAATAATGCACCAACATCTGGTGGGTTATTTGGCGGAAATAATACCAATTCTGGACTTGGTGGTGGTCTTTTCGGGTCTAATAATAATCAAGGTCAAGGACAAGCGGGTCAACAACAACAGCAACAGCCTTTAGCTAATATTAATAAGCAAAACCCATACGGCGATAATCCGTTATTCCAGAGTATTACTGGTGTACAGCAGCTGAATAACGGTGGTGTTCCAAGTGCAACCCCAGTTAATGGATCAGCAACTTCTAAGAAACCAGTTACTTTAGCCACAGCACATAGAATTGCACCATTATTCAAGCCAAGTGCCTTACCTAAGAAGACACCAAGCCCTGTCGGTGCAAATAATGTTCCTATGTCTAGTTCTGAGAACAAAGAAAATATATTCACTTTGAATACTGATAAAGCCATCATATCTTCTGATATTTTTGCACCTAAAGCAAGCTTTAAGGAGTTGGTTTTAGATAAGTCTAAGTCTCCAAGTAATAATAACTCATTACTTTCATCAGGCCAAACTCAGTACACTCCATCCAAACAAGTTTCATTCGTTTTAAATAAAGGCGAGGGCTCAGAATATGATACTGATAAGGATGATGAATCAACACCTAAAATGTTGGAAAGTGTTCCAACAATTAATGGAGAAGCAACAAGACTTGAAGTCGATGACGATGGTTATTGGACATCCCCATCTATATCTGAATTAAAAAAGAAATCTTTGTCTGAATTACGTTCAGTGAAAAATTTCATAGTCGGTCGTAAACATTACGGTCAAATAGAATTTTTGGAGCCTGTGGATTTATCCAGTTTTGTTAATTTGGATGACATAACTGGTAACCTTATAATCTTTGGATCCAAATCTTGCATAGTTTACCCAGATGACAATAAACCACAAGACGGAGAAGGCTTGAACCTTCCTGCAAAGATAACCCTCGAAGGGTGCTATCCTATTAACAAGGCTGACAAGTTACCTATACTTGATCCAAAGAGTGAATTTGTTCGTCGTCATATTGAAAACTTGAAAAAATTACCGGGTATGGATTTTAAAACCTACGATCCTGTTACAGGCAATTGGTCATTTACAGTAACTTCGATGTAATTTCACATTATCAATCAATCTCTTTAGTCAATTTTATCGTATATAGAATAATGTATCAATAGTCCTATTTGAAGTATACTAATGTTATTACGCGCATTATATAACGCGTACTAAAAAGATATTTTTTAAAAAACATTATTATCAAGTATATAGAGGTCAATCATGGGTGTCAAAGGTATGTATAAGATGTAGAAGAATCATTGGATTAGAAAACTAACATTAATATTAGGACTCAATCAATTAATAAAGGAGCATGCTCCAGATGCATTTAAAGAATTTCAATTGAAAAATTTATTTGGTAGAAAGATTGCCATTGATGCTTCCATGTGCTTATATCAATTCTTAATTGCTGTCAGACAAGCCGAAGGTCAACAATTGACTAATGATGAGGGAGAAACCACCTCCCATTTACTGGGTATGTTCTACCGTACAATTCGTTTAGTTGAAAATAGTATCAAGCCTGTATATGTTTTTGATGGAAAACCACCAGTTTTAAAAGGTGGTGAATTGGAAAAAAGATTGCTTAGAAGAGAAGAGGCTATTAAACAAAGAGATAACATAAAAGACGAAGGTACGGTTGAGGATATGGTAAGATACGAGAAAAGGACGGTTAGAGTTACAAGAGAACAAAATGACGAGGCTAAAAAGTTATTAGATTTAATGGGAGTGCCTTACGTTAATGCACCTTGCGAAGCTGAAGCACAATGTGCAGAATTGGCTAGAGGTGGAAAAGTGTTTGCAGCTGCATCAGAAGATATGGATACTTTATGTTACCAACCTCCTTTCTTGTTGAGACATTTGACCTTTTCAGAAGCTAGAAAAATGCCAATTGATCAGATTCAATACGATAAGGTTTTAGAAGCCTTAGAGATGGACAAAGAAACATTCATTGATTTGTGTATCTTATTGGGTTGTGATTACTGTGAAACAATTAGAGGGGTTGGACCAGTGACAGCATTTAAATTAATTAAAGAGCATGGCTCGCTAGACAAAATAGTCGAATACTTGACGAATAACCCTGACAAGACCAATTTCAAGCTTCCTGAGAATTGGCCCTATGACGAAGCTAGGCAATTGTTTATTAAGCCAGATACAATCGATGCCAGCGAAGTTAATCTAAAGTGGAGAGAACCAGATGTTGATGGACTCATTCAGTATATGGTTAAGGAAAAAGGCTTTAGTGAGGATAGAATAAGAAGCGGAGCGGAAAAATTAAAGAAAGGGTTGAAAGGTGGCGTTCAAGGTAGATTGGATGGATTTTTCCAATCTGTCCCCAAACCCAAAGATTCAGCAGACAAAAAGAGGAAGAATGATACTAAATCTTCTAAATCAAAGAAGGCAAAAACCAAAAAGTAATTCTTTATGATGTCTCTTACGGAGTATTAATGTATATTAATTTGTATTCTAATATTTGAAATGGAATAACTTACTTTAATCATGTAGATTAACTTGCTTGATACGTACTATAAGGCTACGTTGTTCGGATTTCCTTCCTTTCACCACTCATGTTGCAGCGAATTGTATTCTATATTACTTAACTTTATTATACTTACACAATTTACTCATTTATAGTGCTATCATTCATTAGAATACATTAAAACGATTTATTCTACGCATCTCTAGACTTTGGCTTCTTCTTTTGCGCTTCAGCTTCAATTTCGGCTTCAATCTCGTCAACATACTTCTTGATCTCATCAATCGACAACTTTTCAATTCTATCACCCGATTTCAAAACAGACACCTCGATATTTTTTGCTCCTGTTTGAACCACTTCTAATAACGACTTTATTGTTAATTTAATAGTTTGCTCATCACTCATATCTTCTTCATAGTGCTTTTCTAAGAATTCCTTTACAGTTTTAGACGATCTTCCAATGGCATGTGCCTTCCATGCATTGTAAACTCCCGATGGTTCTGTTTGATATAATTTTGGGACATTGTCATTACTATCAAACCCAGCAATTATGGTGGCAATACCGAACGGTCTAACACCACCCGATTGGGTGTATTTCTGTTGAACACCTGCTACATATTTGGTTAAATATTCAACAGTCACAGAATCTTCCAATGTTAATCTATGCGACTGGGCTTCAACTCTGGCCTTGTCAACCAAGATTCTTGCGTCTGCATTCAACCCAGCAAATGCTAGCAAGACGTGATTATCAACTTTGCATATCTTTGAAGGTGTAATACGTGGATCTTGTAACTTTAATGTAGTTCTCTTCTCACACCCTAATACCACTGTTTCTTTACCTTTAACACCAACGGCACATGTACCTCTTTTAACTGCTTCTGAAGCATATTCAACCTCTATTATTGGGTTAGTATTTCATCTTTTTACGATATCTATCAAATTCAAATATACATACGGAAAACATGTCCATCAGGTCTATTTTAATATTAGTTAGTACTCGATTTGTAAATTGGGTGGCAAGATTCTTGAATCTTAACAGAATTATGCCAATTGCATTCCAATCATTATACATACGAAAAAATGGATAAAGCACTATCGTAACCACTCATTATAAGTATATATATCAATAATTATATTAAGATTATAGAGAATAGATTGGTTTTTGCAAGGTTATTAGATAGAATCTCCATTTGTTCATACAAGAGCCCAAATTTGGCGACGACATATTTAGTACAATGTCGCGCTTAGGAAGCCTATATGATTTTTCAAAAGTCGCCATATAAACTAGAATGATTTATCTATATGCTTCATGGGTCCTAAGAAACAAAGTAAACCAGCACCTAAGAATGTTCCTCATATAGATAATTATGCAAGAATATCATATTTATACCAAGCATCAAGTCATTTTGCAACTAGACCAAAATATGACATACTATCAAGAGCCATCGCTAGAAACGTTAATTTGATTTCTAAGAAATCGGTAACAAAACTTTCACCGATTTTGAAAAGAACTATTTGTAAAGGATGTCAGACATTATTAGTTCCTGGTGTAAATGAAAGTATAGAAATAGAAAATCAGTCAAAAGAAAAAACGCCACATAATGACATATTGGTTCATTCATGCAAAACTTGCGGTAAGAAAAAGAGGTTTCCCGTTGGTAAAAATAGGACATATAAGTTGTTTAGTGAAAAAGACGACGAAAAATCGGACGATGAATGACATTTTGTATTTTTTAATGTATATAGGATCGTAAATACATATTAATTATTTTGGACCAAGCATATTCTCTGGTCTGACCCACTGGTCGAACTCTTCTTCTGATAACATGTTTAAGTCTAAGCATGATTGCTTTAAGGTAAGACCCTTTTTATGGGCATTTTTGGCGACCTTGGAGGCATTGTCATAACCAATCTTTGGGTTCAAGGCTGTGACTAACATTAAAGATTCATTCAAAACTTTGGAGATCTTTTCTTCGTTGGCAACAATACCTTCAACACAGTGAATTCTAAATGATTTACATGCATCACCAATTAATCTGATTGAAGACAACAAGTTGCTAGCCATGACAGGCTTGAAAACGTTCAATTCAAACTGACCAGATGCACCGGAAAACGTGATAGTAGTATGATTACCCATTACTTGAGCACAAACCATAGTCATGGCTTCACATTGGGTTGGGTTAACCTTACCTGGCATAATTGAAGAGCCTGGTTCATTCTCTGGTAATGATAATTCCCCGTAACCACATCTTGGACCAGAACCTAAGTATCTGATATCATTAGCAATCTTGAAAAGAGAAACGGCTAATGTATTTAAAGCACCCGAAGCTTCAACAAATGCATCATGTGCAGCCAATGCTTCGAATTTATTTGGAGCAGTTTGGAATTTTAATCCAGTAAGATTAGACACTTCATTTGCAACCTTAACATCGAAACCCTTTCTGGTATTCAAACCAGTTCCAACAGCAGTACCACCTTGAGCTAAGTATGATAATCTTGGAAGAGTTTGTTCAACACGTTCAATACCGAAACTTAATTGTTGAACGTAACCAGAGAATTCTTGACCTAAAGTTAATGGGGTTGCATCTTGTAAGTGGGTTCTACCAATTTTGATGATCTTTTCAAATTCCTTGGCTTTAGCATCGAACGCATCACGAAGTTCTTTTAATGAAGGAATTAACTTATTGCTTATTTCAGTAACGGCGGCAATATGCATCACTGTTGGGAAAGTATCGTTCGAAGACTGAGACATGTTACAGTGATCATTTGGATGAACAGGACTTTTTGAGCCCATTTTTCCTCCCAAAATTTCGATAGCTCTATTTGAAATAACCTCGTTGGCATTCATATTAGATTGAGTACCTGAGCCTGTTTGGTAGACTACTAATGGGAAATGTTCCGTCAATTTACCTTCCGCAACTTCAGTTGCAGCCTCTTTGATAGCCTTTGCTAACAGAGGGTCCAAGGCACCGATTTCTTCGTTAACAATTGCAGCAGCTTTCTTCAAAATACCAAATGATTTAACAATCGATTCTGGCATTCTAATATCACCTATATCAAAATTACCTAACGATCTTTGACTTTGGGCACCCCAATACTTATCATTTGGAACGGAGATTTCTCCGAACGCATCGGTTTCGATTCTTTCGTTAGCTTTGTTACCTGACATTTTCCAATACTTGACGAATTATATTGTTAATTCTTAGGTTAGATAGATAATCAACAATGCTTTTTCGATTAGATGTTTATAATGCAAATTAATTTCATATATAATTTCCCGTTGAAAAGCGGAACGGTGAACGTAAAAAAGAATATTTCGGAAAATTACGGTCCATCCCAAAACTGATTGCAATAATAACGATATTAGCATTGTTATTGGATGAACTTATTAACGTTACTCTGTCATGTCATTATCATAAAATTGAATTGTATATAACTAATACATATATATATAGGACATCGAGGCGCTATAAGAAAGCAGATTGATTTTGTTGATTTTTACGAATGATTCTTCTTGGAGGCTCTACTTTAGTACCAACCCAATTGTAACGGAATCCTATTTCATGGGCTAATATTTCCCCAAATCCCAACATCATACCGTTGATAAATGGCAAAATCAAATTAATCGAACTCTTTCTTAAAATGGTCCATAAATTTATATTATATACTGATTGTTCCTTTTCTTCTTGAAGTGGAAACAAACTTGCATTTATTGCATCTGCATAACTAACATCTTCAGATGACAGTTGGTTCTGAGTATCTGTTGTATCATGAACTCCTTCCCTTTGGTTATTCAGAAGCAAAACCTCGTTTAAAAACTCCGATGTTTCTTCCACAAACTTTTCGGTTGCAATATCATTATTATCTTCTACGTCAATATCTCTATTGACTCCAACCTCATTATATGTAGCTGACATTATTCTCTTCTGTTGATCGAAACAGCTTAGTTGTCCTACATCAGTTACATCTTCAACTAATTTTAAGATGAATTATTGGTGTATCACGTGATGATTTGGAACTACAGTTATACCCAATATATGTTGCTTTGCTATTAACTATCTAATTCTAGAGAATTATTTACAGGTAAGCTTACTCTTTAATACCAACAGATAAGCCATCTTCCAATCTCTTTTCGGTTAAAGCAGCGATGACTGCAGCACCAACACCGGAACCATCTTCGGCGTGCACAATAGTGATGAGATTTTCTTCAGTTTCCCACTCAAAGATATCTCTTAATGCCTTAGCAGTTCTTTCTTTAACACCAGGATATTTGTTGTAAACAGAACCATCAGCAGCACAGTGAGCAGTCTCGTAACCTCTCTTCTTACAAATGGCAGCAATACCACAGACAAATAATCTGGCAGATCTGTCACCGATCAATTCAGCAAGACGACGAATTATCTTTCTTTCTGGAGAAGTGGTTTGAATGCCTAAGACTTGTTGGAATAATTCAGCAGTGTCGCTCAAATTTTCAAATGGATCTTCTTCGATCTTAGATGGGAAGGAGGTATCTAAGATGAATTCCTTTTCTAATTTAGATAAATCTTGGTCCTTAAAGATCAACTTCTTTTCTTTGGTCAAGTCAAGTAAGATCAATCTCAAGACTTCACCTAAGTAGTAACCAGAGATCATCTTTTCGTAAGCTTGTTGACCTGGTCTTGGAGATTGCTTATCGATGAGAATATCGTACTTAGTTCTTGGTAACACAACGAGTTCATTGTCAAAAGCACCATATTCACAGTTGATAGCCATTGGGGCGCTTTCTGAGACGTCACTTGGCATCTTTCCTTCCAACTTTGGAATATCACCAACAACATCATAGTAGGCACCGTTACAACCAGTACCATAGATCAAACCCATCTTGGTTTCAGCATCAGTATACATAGAAGCAACCAATGTACCAGTGGTATCGTTAATCAATGCAACAACATTAATTGGAACACCAACCTTTTCAATAGCCTTTTGTAACATTGGAACAACATCGTGGCCTTCGACACCATCGATGTCCCAACCTTTAGTCCATCTTTGTAAAACACCAGTGTTGATAGATTTTTGACTAGCTGGATAAGAGAAGGTAAAACCTAATGGTAAAGGCTTGGTACAACCTTGTGGGAATTCTTCTTCAACGAATTTCTTCAAACATTCAGCAATGAAAGTCCACAATTCTTCAGAAGTAGCAGTTCTCATGGTTTCTGGCAATGCGAATTTAGATTGAGTGGTGTCAAAATCTCTGTTACCACCTAACTTAACTAACACGACTCTCAAGTTGGTTCCACCCAAATCAATAGCCAAGTAGTCCCCCTTTTCTTTACCAGTTGGGAAATCCAAGACCCATCCAGGAATCATAGGAATGTTACCCCCTTCCTTAGATAAACCCTTTTCTAATTCAGTGATGAAGTGATCAGTGATTTTTTTCAAGGTGTCTGGAGAAACAGTCAATAATTCTTCCAATTCCTTCAACTCCTTAATGAGATCTTCAGGAACGTCAGTAAATGTACCCTTTCTGTGTTGTGGAGGTTTTGGACCTAAGTGCACCATTTTCGTCTAATATTAAGTACTAATTTATGAAATTAAAATAATAAGATATAAAATCAATTATCTATTCTCTGAATGAATTTTCCGACTTATATATAAGGCCTAATGTTTCAATAATAACACCCGATAGAGTGACGAATAGTCAGTTGAGAAGAAAAAAACGTCGATAAGACGGGGCTCAAAATCTCCGGAATATTGTTGAACACCGTGACGCATTACATTCTACAATACAAAGGGACATAAAAAAGGCTTTATATTCAAGAAGGTATATTCATCTACATCGGAACAGCATCAGGTACAAGCTGATATATATATATATTACTCTACATTCATAAATATAAAGATTGACACTGGAAAATCGAATTGAGTCCACGTAATATTAATCCGATCGTACGCGCAGTCAGTAGTTTTTCCGCGAATAGCGGACAATGCTCATCCGCTTGCAATCCCCATGGTCCACAAATGTACTCCAGAATGCTAAAATAACTACCCCCTTTACAAAAACTGCGACAAGTAGCGGAGGTTTTGAGTCCCTTATAAGTTTTAGTGGCGAAATTTTTTTTCATTATTATGACGTGGTATCGGAGTTCTGAATTCGGAAATGCGAAAACCACAATTAAACTTAAATATGCAAGAACGGCACGATGACTGAAGGTTTGGGATACATGATACTTAGAAAGCCCTTTAAGTTGACAATATGGACACCAAATTAGATTACCATAAATCTCTAGTATTTTCATCAAACTTCTTCATGGATTGACCTATATTATCTAAATTCACTCTCACATCTTCCACGTACTGGCTGATTTCATCAAAATTCTGTTTCTTATATAGAATGTGCTTCAGGTCTTCCGCATCTTTGGCAAAAAACTCAGTAAGCCTTTCATTTTGGGGGTTTCTGTCCCCTTCAGAAATTTGGTTGAGGAGTTGCGGAGTACTGGCATTAGGTGTGGCCACATTGAGTTTATACAAATGTTTTTGATAATCTTTATCAGAGTAACTCTTAAAATGCTGGTTTGACATCACCTCGAATAACTTGTTTTGCAGTGATTTTAATTTTTCTAGCTCTTCATTAAACTTATCGTTAAAAAACGATCCTTTGAGTCTAACCTGGTTTGACATATTTTTGACGTCATCAAGAACGTCAATTTGTGTCCAGAGTTTGTCCAGGTATGTTACACTAGGCTTGGCTGTGGGTAATCTGTCTGCAGTTTTTATACTTTGTACATCATTACTATATGTGTCTGTATTATTAGTGTTTGTTCGAGATAATCGTGCAGTGCTTGATGCTGATTTATTTGCTCTATGATTGATGTTGAATCCTGTGGGCCCTATACTAGACGTAGATGAGACTGATGTGTTATACGAGTGATGAGGTACAGGTAACTTGTCGGTATTATTTCTTATCATGTTGAATTCAAAATAGTTTATTATTCATACTAGATAGTATTATGATAATATTTTTTTTTGCGCATTTGATCAGTAGATACTTTGCTGGAGCTTTCCATCACGTAAATATATTATTATATAAAAAGAGCTTCGATTATTCGTAGACATCATTACTTATAGATAAAAGACAAATCTTTTACAATCTCACATTTATCTAATGGGATGAAATATACATGTTCTTACTACTAAATTTCATACATTAAACTAACTCAATGGCATACTGAGATGAACTCATTAAAAGTACCTAATAGCCAGTCCACTCGCCCTGAAATACAGAATATCAAAAAGAATTTATACAAGGTCCGTTCTAGATCTCCAATTAGAAAAAAACTGACACCATGGAAAAAATTGCTCTACTTACAGCAGCCTTATCCAGATAACTACACCAATGAATCTTTCCTCGCTCAGTTAAAGAGAAATACTACCGTTTTAAAATATTCGTACTGGAAGTTAGTCGATGACTTCACATTAATTGCATTTCATTTGTCCAATCTATTGCTAGTAATTTTAGTGTTTACGGGTGTTTATTTGCAATATTGGAATTCGATTTGGCCAACCCTAATGAGCAGCTGCTGTTCTATCATAGGATTCATAGCATGGGATCAAATCAATAATTCATTAGCTGATCAAAAAAATTTGGGGTCTCACCCAATTCCAAAATCTTCACCAGCCCTATCTTCTGGACCCAAGCCTAAAGTCAAATCCTTTCTAATCATTATTTTCATTATCTTGTTGCTATCTCCTGTTTTAAAGTCTCTAACGAAGTCTACGTCGTCCGATTCTATTTGGGCCTTATCGCTTATTTTATGCCTAGCAAATACAATTTTCCATGACTATGGTGTTAATACTTCAAGCAGCCATTATATGCCTATAATATCTACTAATATATCATTATCCAATGCTATAGTGCTTGCATCACGGCTCAATTCTACAGTACAGGTGTTTTGCTTCATATTATTTGCTATACAGATAAATATCCTTTTACCACTTTTTGATTTCAGTATAAGGAAGCATTTAAGAAGCAAATATTACCACAGATGTTTAGTCCTATCCGTATCAAGTGTCGTGTATTATTTAATTTCCATCTTAATAGGGTTTAATGCTTTAATCGTGTGGATACTAATTCAGGTAGGAATAGCCTTCATAATGCCTAATTACTTCTTGTTCCTTCAGAAATACAAGAACGAGCTACAAGGTCCTTGGGATATAGCTAAGCCTATTCTTAATGCTAGCTAGCTTGTTGCAATCCATTTTTCACTAGCATATACTATATAGACGTAATATATGAATGTCGTGTTAAATGTCGCACTGATGTCGCGATTCAAATTCTATCGACAAAACTAGTTCTAACCATACAGTGTAAGCATATTCGTTAAGCATCCAAGATTAATCCATTTCCATAGGAGTACTATCAGAAGCAGATATACAAATAAGATGGAGAATAATCAATCTAATGATTCAAATAGCAATCAACAATCCGCTCCTCAAAATTCGAGAGCAGGCCAGCAACAGGTACGACCCCAACAAGGCAACGCAAGACAACAACAACCTCAAACAGCACTGCAACCGCCTAGGGGTCCGCAGCCACAATTTTCCCAAGCAGATTTGAATCGTATCGTGTTGGAATACCTTAATAAAAAGGGTTACAATAAAACCGAATCTATGCTCAGATTGGAAAGTTCCAATACACCAACACCATCAGTACCATCAGTTAGTCCTGCAACGTCCAATATAGCTAGTCCAGTTGAAATATCCAGAAGAGAGAAGGATTTGAAAGACAAGGCAAGTAGACATGAACGAGAATTAAGAGAATTAAGAGATAAACAAGTCAGAATAGAACGTGAATTGAGAGATTCAAGAGATAGAGAGTTTAGACTTGCTAAGGAGAAAGAATTAAGAGACTTAAGGGATTATGAAGAGAAGCAAAAGCGTGAAAATGATCCAGAAATATATTATAGAGTTTATTCTATGTTGAGAAGTTGGGTGGAAACTTCTTTAGATTTATACAAGCCTGAATTATCAAGATTATTATATCCAATTTTCATTCATTGTTTCTTGGAATTAATTGCTAAGAACTTTTCATCACAAGCCAAAAGGTTCTTGGATAAATTTAAAGGCGATCATGTTATGTTGCACGGATTGGAGATTAATAAGCTAGCAGGTATTTCCTTACCAGAACATTTGAAGGAAAATGAATTGGCTCAAGCTTACAGAAATAATAAATATAGAATTATTGTCTCCAAGACTTCAATTAATTTATTATTATATTTCTTGCATGAAAATGAAGCAGTTGGTGGAGCCATTTTAATTCGTATTATTAATCAATATTTAAATCCTATTATTTCAACAACTAAGCCAGATAAGGTTGATCAAGAAGGTGAAGCTAATCCAGATGAGGGTATACCCGATTACATTACCAAAACTAATGAAATAGATAAATTCAATGAACAGCCAGTTAAATTGGGTAAATTACCAATGGACCCAGAGGTACAAAAGGAAATTGAAGCTGAGTTGAAAGTTAAAGATGAAAAGGCAGACCCCGTTAACGATAAGACTTTAGTAGAAGAGTTTCAAGATATAACTTCTGTCGAAGATGACTCGCCAGCAAGAGAATCGTTACCATTACCTTTAAAGGATGCGTCTGACATCAAGAGACAGATTTTAGCCGTTGAAGACTCTCGATCGAAAATTAAGTTGGGGGCTATACAAGCAAGTGCTCCTTCTGTCTGTATGTATACATTTCATAACACAAATAATGATATGACATGTTTGGATTTTAATGATGATTCTAATTTAATGGCTGCAGGATTTCAGGATAGTTTTATAAAATTATGGAGTCTTGATGGGAAACCTTTGAAGTCAGTATTTAAAAAGGATAAGTACAATAATGACAATAGCCGTAAATTAATAGGACATAGTGGGCCAGTGTATGGCGTGTCCTTTTCTCCAGACAACAGATACTTGATTTCTGGATCCGAAGACAAAACTGTGAGATTATGGTCATTAGACTCTTATTCCGCTTTAGTATCTTACAAAGGACACAATCAACCTATTTGGGATGTTAAATTCTCTCCATTTGGACACTACTTCGCCACTGCTTCTCACGATCAAACCGCAAGATTGTGGGCTACCGATCATATTTACCCATTGAGAATTTTCGCAGGCCACATCAATGATGTTGACTGTATTGAATTCCATCCTAATTCAAATTATGTGTTTACAGGATCGTCGGATAAAACGTGCCGTATGTGGGATGTTCAAACTGGTAATTCTGTGCGTATATTTATGGGACATACTGGTCCTGTTAATTGCATGTCAGTTTCCTATGACGGGAGATGGTTAGCCAGTGCTGGTGAAGATGGGGTTGTTAATATATGGGATGCAGGTTCCGGTAGAAGATTGAAAACAATGAGAGGGCACGGTAGATCGTCTATTTACTCATTAGCATTTTCTAGAGATGGAGGTGTTTTGGTAAGCAGTGGCGCAGATAACACAGTCAGAGTATGGGATGTCAAAAAGAATACAAACGATGCGGGCCCCGAGCCTGAAGCTTTCAGTTTTGATAGTAATTCAAACAATGCAAATGGCACATCAAGAAATGCAAGTGCCAATTCGCAAAACTTTAAAAACGATAAGTCAAGTAGAAAGGAAATCATAGCCACTAGTGACCATATGACAGCCTACTTTGCCAAAAAGACCCCTATTTACAAAGTTCATTTCACGAGAAGAAACTTATGTCTCGCGGGTGGGGGGTTCATGGGCTGATGCCTATTTTACTTATATTTTTAATATTGCAGACTGTGTATTATTATTAACTATTACAACATGTTTACAAAGTAAGTTATATAAGCCTTGTAGAGCCTTTAAAACATTATCAACGGTGTCATGCATGTCTAAAATACTCTTTTTGACCTCATGTCAAGCTCAGCCCGTAATTGCACTTGCGCAACATACCTAATATGAATGCAAAATATATTTTTTAAAATTAAATACTGTCTAAGCCAATATTTTTGACACAGTGCTATTGTTTTCTTTGACATATTAAATATACGAGGTCGTAACTTGCTTGACGTGACTGGTGCATTGTCAACGATTTATACCCAGTTTGCAATTGGTACCCCTAATTGTATGTAGTTTGAAGTGATCTGAAGTAAACAGGTGGGCATAGCCAGAAGCAATTCTCGAGGCTTATATGTTAATAAAGTCTGTCAAAATAAACGTGGATTTAATTTTAGCTTCTGTCAACTTAGAGGTATAAGCACAGCATCCTCTAAAGATTCCTTAGCCATCGAATATAAAAGGCTTACTGTTTGCCTACTTTCTAGGTAATTTTTTTGTATCATTCTATATTTTATACTATCATGAAAACTTCCACTGTCTTATCTTTACTTTTAGCTGCTGCTACAGTTTCTGCTCAAGCAAATGACTTCCAAATTGGTGAAGGTATTGCCAAGAGAGCAGCATCCTCATCTTCGGCAAAGAAAAATTCGACTAGTTCTTCCAGTTCGAAATCTAGTGCTAAGTCTAGTTCCAAATCTAGTAGCTCTGCCACCGGAGCAGCAGCTAGTAGCAAATCTAGCTCTACTTCTAGTAGCTCCAGTGCTGGCGCTAATTCGAATGGAATAGGATACGGTGCTATCGGTGCTATCGCGGGCTGCTTATTACTTTAATCAGTAAGTCAAATTAAGTAGATTATTTATATTTACTTTATCGTCTATTTGCTTTTGTAGCGAACTAGTTATAACAAATATATAATATATCTACAAACTAACTATTACTACATTCCTGGCGAAATCATGTAAAACCCCATGCTATATTTAAGAAGGATATCTCATGGGACAAACCTAATCCAAACATTTTTATATAGTGCTTCAATTTTGTTTGGCCTAAAATTATCTTAAAATTGAATTATTATTATATATGTGAGATAATAGTTAAAATTAATTCGGGAGCAATGCCACATGGAGGCCAATAAGAGAATATGCACTATATGTATGCCAATGCAAGCTTTTCTTAACATATAAGCTTACGCGGTACCAGTTTTCGCATAAGCTACACTGATTTAATATTAGTAGGTGCCGTGATAAATAGCACTAGATATTGTAGATTCCATAAGAAATTATCCAAACAGTCAATAGGTATGTTATTCGAAAGCAGTGTATTTTTATTCGTCTTGTAGTATTTATCATAATCATCAGCCACATCTTTAATAAGGCTTAATAAATTCCTGTTTAATAAGTCGAGGCCTGTTTCAAAGCTCTTGTTTTGTAAGTCGAATTTCCTGTCACATCGATCCTGTCGATCAACGGGTAATTTCAACGTGTCTGCTTGATCATAATATAGTGGATACTTAACAATATCTTGATTAGAATCGCTCCTTATAGGATCCAATATGTAACAAAGACTTTCATAGGAATGCATTTTGTATTTTAAGTTAATATTGGTAATTAGCGCAATATTATTAATTAGCTGAACGATATAATTCAATGCAGCATTAATTTGATTGACTTTCGTTTGATGGGAGTCTATTTCATTTGCAAACTTAATTTCACCAGTATTATAATTATGCAAATCATGTTTGTTGTAGTAACATATATCTAGTAAATCTTTAATGCTCAGGGGAAACTCTAGTCCCATGATTGTAAATTTAATGCTATTGTCAAAATTTTCAATAAACAAAATCTCCTTCAAAATTTGAGTTGCCTCTTGCAAGTTTTGAACAATAGATGGATAAAGCAGATTGTCTAATGATTCGCAAATCGGTGCAATTTGTGATTCTGCAATTTCTATATGATTTTTGGCCATTTCAACCTTAGGCGGTAAAGTTTCATTAATAGCCTGTTTCAAATGACTGATGTGAATTTTCTTTGCCATTATTTCAGATGTTATATTGTCGTTAATTCTTTCTTGTCTTTCTATATACTTATCCAACCTTGCGCTTTCTGTTGACAATATTTCTTGCTCGATGTTTATATCATTTGAGTTAGATAATCCTCCCAATAAATCCTTTGGTTCACTTATCAACTCATTTATTTGTTTAGAAGTTTTATTCTTAGATTTCATTAGTTCCTTCAATGATTTAGATATGCTGTTTAATGATCGAATTGAATCAAATGAATAAGATGGCAAAATATGCTTCGAATCGGTACTAGAAGTATTGCTAATCATTTGTTCTTGCTCAACAATTAAGGAATCAGGCATTGTATAATAACGATCATTTAAATTAAATATTACCGAATTGCTATGGAAATAATTTTCTTTATCTATCAATGTATCCCCAATATACCATAACTTCCTCAAATCAATATCATATTTGTAGAACAATTTCCATTGACTACTTTCAGAAGTTTTACTCCATATCTTTAGTATGACATTTGGTGAATTGCAATCAGGTAATGTTGGTAACGATATTGGTCTAAAGTTAGGATTCATGTTAGATACGATATCTTCACTGACATAGACTAACAATTCATCATTCATATAAGGAATATGCAACGTGAAAAACGAATCAACTAGCTTCAATGTATTTATATGTAGCAATTCAAGACTTGTAAGTTCATCGAACTGTGTAAATGATTGAAGTAAGCTCCTGCGTCTTCCTATCAGTTCTTCTTTCCTTGGTGAGACTGTCGTAGCATCTATATGTTTACCATTTTTTTCTTGTTCGGGTTTCAGTTCTAAGTATAAGTTCCGTAGAAATATTCTCTTTATACTTCTTAGTTTATAGTCATTATTATACTCCATCTTAATCTCATTATTATCCATTAAATTCTGTCAAGGTGCTTGACTAGATAAACTAATTTTTCATATTTCGCAGGATTATTTATTGGAACTTACATTAGTGGTGGTTCTTGTTAAACGACTGTTTATATAAACAATATGGTAAACTATATAGTTTGTCTAGCCCATTTTTGTGAGCTACATGGGCCTTCTACAATAATATGCACACAGATGACCACTTTACAAGATAAATCTGATCATTTATTACGAGATACTTCAAAGTTGCATTCGTGTGCTTCATGCAAGCTTATCCTTCCAGATGATGCAGTGAACTTAGTCACAACCATGGATAATAAGGATGAATCCAGTACCTCAGATGTGTATATATCTACACATTATCCATCGTCGCAACAGCGATATACATCGTTAACCAAACTAATTATGAAGTCATTATCGGTAGAAACAACAACCGATCTTTCAAAGCCAATATTTTACGGAGACGTGATTAATGGTTATTGCATAAGTAAAATATTTAAGGTTAAAGATGTGAGTTCCCGTGGGTCAGAAAGAAAATATTCGCTCATGGTAATAGCTGATTCTGAAATAAACTTACTACAAAATTGGGATATAGTAGCGACGTATTTAAGCGAGATAATTTCCTTAATACAAGCCCAAGTTGAAATCGTCATTAAAGATGCAATTATGAAAAAGGAAGCTAGTAACACCAATGGTGCCATGTTCGATAATGAAAGGTACTTGCGGAGATCATTAATCAGGCCAAAATCGTTAGTTGAATTAACAGATGATGACCAAATATTTGTCAAATTTCATTTGTGGGCAATTGAATTGTTGAAGGATATAACTGTATAAACATGATCTTAGTCGAACCTCTATTATTTGATTGCAACCTGATGTTGTCACAGATAAATTACAAACTCAACGTTAATGTGAGGTTAACCTAGAGAAAAATACCTTACAAATTGACATTAGTCTTCAAAATAAAACTGAGATTATGAATAGCACACAACAGCCTACTCTAGAACTATTCTAATTAATAGTGGTATGGTAATCCTGGGTTAAAACTTTGAACAGAACTGATTGAGTTCAATGTGGGGTGATAAATTGCTTGGCCCCAAAAAGAGTTTTGCAAAAAACAAGCATCGATTACAAAAAACAAACATAAAGAAGAAGTGTCATTCAACATCATAAATATACCACTTCAGAAAAATTACCCAGAAATTCAGAAAAATCTGAATCTTACAAATTGAATTAACAAATGCATAATATGTGCCTGGAACTCAATTGACCTGTATGAGCGTTTAACTCGTCTCTGAAAAGAACTTATCCCAATTTTAGTTCTCGAACTTCATGAATAGTACATACCAAAGAAACAAAAGGAACAACACAACAACACAACAACATCTATGTGGATCTTAGAGACGTCTCTATATATGTCTGATGATTTGAGGTATTTACACGACTTATTTTATTATTCCAATATGCATTGACCTAGTTCTCTTGGATTGCAAGTATACTCTGTTCTATTGTAAACCCAAATATGAATTTTGATAGACGAACCGTTCTATTAAATCACGGGCCATATGATGATATAGAAATAATATGTTGGATTTATTAAAAGTGCTGACAACTGTATATAGTTTATCATTATTGCCATATTTAATCAGTTCTATAATGTTAATTGTTGCATATTTCAGTAAATGCAAGCTAATGAGAGTGGTTACAGTTGTTTATGTTTGTCATTTAATACTATGCGTACTTTCTGGATATTTTCCGAGATTTTTTTGGTATCAACCAGAGGTTTTACTGATTATAAATGCATATAATATCGATTCGTCTACAGCTCCGTTGCTTGAGATATTGACTAAGTCATATATACCCAATGGCTCTATTGCGTATAGGGATGAAGAAGATAGAAGGTCAATATGCTTGTCTAAAAATGGATATTTTGGTTTCGATAATGAATATGATCCACGATTATTACCGGCTCTTTGGTTTTCTTATCTCTCACGTATGCTAAGGCAAGAATCTTTCGAGAGTGTTGATGAATTAAGGATCCCTTTTAGTTGGGACTCGCTTCTAGATTTGCAGACTAGACTTTATCTCCAACACAAGCCGTTCCGAAATCTAGATTGCAGTAAATTTTACGATTTTCATGGGCTCAATGGGACCGAATTTTTGGAGAGTTGCCAGGATTTACCAAACCGTGAAGGTATAGGAGGCATTCAGTTTAAAATATTTCAACCTGTAGAAGCCTCGATGTCTGAAGAAGTAAGGAAAATCATTGGATCTTCATACTTAATGCACTCTGCACCTCCTCCAGAGAAGCTCTTTCTACTAGGGGTAGGACCAAATAGAAGTGGACTTATAGTTCCAACATACTCATTGAGAGAAGATTATAGAAAGAGTGATTTGTTTTATTTTATAAGAAACCAAACAATCTGTTTAACTGGCATAACTGGTCAGAGTATAAGTATACACGAAGAAGTAGACAAACTTATGGAGTTGTTATCTTTACGAATTGCCAATCTTTCGTATGTTGCAGATGAAGAACTAACTGGTGATATGTTTCGACTTGTTATATCTGGTGAAAATAACTCTAATCGTTTAACAAAGGATGATTTTTTTTTGGGTGAAGTTAATAGCTTTCTCAAGGAAAAGTTGATAGGATCTTTGAACAGCACGTTGGATCACAATTTTTATGAAAAGATTTTATCACAGATCGATATAGTTAATTCGACCCGAAATAAATATTTCCATGAGGCAACGGTTGTTGGACAAACAGACAATCATTATGATTGGCGATTTTTCAAGCAACTACATTATTCCAATTATGAAAGAAAAGCGATATTACATCGATTAAGTCGAGCATGGCTACGGTTTTCTAACACATTAGGTATTAAAACTTGGATTGCCCATGGTTCTTTGTTGGGGTGGTATTGGAATGGTATGAGTTTGCCGTGGGATCAAGATTTGGACGTCCAAATAACTATGGAATCGTTGATAAAAATAGCAAAATACTATAATCAGTCTTTGGTATTAGACCTAACCGATCAAGAATTCAACTTGAATCTAGGTGTTGGCTCCTATTTAGTGGATGTTAGTCCGGCATTATTTGATAGACAGAAAGGCAGCGGTGAAAATACGATAGACGCAAGATTCATTGATACAGAAACAGGCTTCTATGTTGATATCACAGCGATAGCTTTCACAAATACTGTGAATGATATCTCAATAAATGATAAGTCATTTTCTGAGTTGAATCAAGTCTTGGACAATGATTTTGTTATGAAAGATAACTCTCATACTATTCTGAAAGAGGACCTTTATAAGGACTTATCTATCAGAAAAACAGAGCTTTGGAATGCTCAGAATGTTTTTAACTGTAAGGATAACCATTTCTATACGCTCGAAGATTTGAACCCCTTAATTCCTACACTATTCGAAGGATCTATCGCTTATGTACCGAGAGGATTTAAGCAAATATTGCAAAGAGAATATAATCGTGGTTTGCTCTACTATCATTATGCGAATCATGTTTTCAGGCCGGTGTTAGATTTATGGGTACCACGGTATATATGCAAAGATGATTATATTGGAAACAAGTGCTTTGATACAGAAACTCTATTAGAAATGGAGTATACTAAACCCTTAACTAAAATACATAGGAGAGAAATGCTGAACCAAAATCGTGAATCGTATAATATAAATGATGAGCTAGCACCTTTTAGATTGGATCCTTGGATTATCAAAAGGGCAGATAAAATTAAGCGGTGCCTAGATACTCGATGAGAATATCCTTTCAACAAATATTTATAGAATTAATAGTTATGCAAAATGACCACGAGTGCTCTGGTCTATTTAATATTATCCAACAGTTTTACCTGTAAGTTTTCGTTTATCTTTCTTGCTTCTCTACCACCTTCTGAAATATCTGTTCCAAACCTCGAGATGGGCCATATTACCCCAATCACCTTCCCTATGACCAATGCCTGGCTTATTGGGCCAAAATTATTAGAATCCACGGAATGAAATGTGTTGTCGCCTTCGACCCACAAGTGATTTCTGGGTATTGTGGCCTGTGGTCTTGGATATGGAGGCGTCTTGGTCGCAATCACATCACCTTGTACGCCAACCACTCTCTTAGTTAGCAACTTTTCAGGATCTTGTGGTGATCTAAACATAATCACATCACCTCTCTTCAACGAATTAGGCTTTTTCAAGTTAAACTTTTGAACCAACGCAACATCATCAGTCATGGTTTCCGTACCTGGGTTGAATGTTGGAGTCATGGACATACCTGTAATTTGGCATGGTTGATATACATGGTTCGAAAATGTATACAAAACTGGAAACCATGTCAATGTTATCAACGTAGTCCTAATACTATGCGGTAATTTTGAGAAATACGCCATCCGTTTGAGTTGAATATCTCTTCTATATCATAGATAATACAAGTTTATTAATTCTGCCATATTTGTGCGTGTCAATACTGACTGAAAATTATCGCTTGGTCTGCTGCAACCTTTACCATATGATTGTTGAATTATTGTTCTTCTTCTTGTGAATTATATATATCCTTAATATTTATAATATATAATCTGTTTCAGTATGTCTTCAGGTCAAAGTGGTCTTCTTGATCAAATACTTCTCGAAGACATTGCTCGCCATTGTCCACAACAGTTCTTAGCATTTCATCAATGCATGTCAAAACCTTCACCAGATGCAAATCAATGTGCTTTAGAACAATATAATTTAGCAGGATGTATTAAGAAGGACGTTCCAGCTTTCCAGAAGATCCAAGGAGTTTGTTCTGGGAAATTGCAAGCATACGAGGCGTGTTTGAAGATGAATGGCAGTGATCAAAAGAAGTGCTCACAAGATTTGCAAAGCTTAAGAGATTGTGCATTTGGCTCTTTAGATAAATAGATGGCCGTATGGTATCAATTGCGGGTTTGTTTTTAGAGGCAGAGATAGAAATAGACACTGGATAGGGTTGCTCCAGTTTATATATCGGTACACAACACATGGACTCTATTTACATCATTATTTGTAGAGAGCCAAATACAAAACTATATCGTGAAATTATCTATGTAGACTATTGATTTTTATACTTTGAAGGCACGTTTTGAATTCTGATGTCCGATAAGTAGTTGTCAGTGAACTTTCTGATATCGGGGGCAGCATTATGGGATTCCTCGATCTCGTGTTCGTGATGCAACAATTCGTGCTCTATGTCTTCTTTATGTTTGATTAACACTTCGGGATCTTGATTGGCATGGTACTTGTTCCAATGATGCTCTTCGTATTCTGTTTCAAAATCCAAATGATGGCCCTGGCCATATCCAAAATCCGGCAACTCTCCCTTCTTTGAAAACTGTCTCCATTCATCCAACGAAATCTGTTTGTCTCCGTTAGTATCGATCAATTCAAGGATAGAATTTACCACATGATCTTTGGCCTCTTGTGTTATTGACTCTTGTTGGTGTGAATGTTCACCCATACCTGATCCGTCACCTACAACTGACTCTCTCAACAATCCATACAAGTTCAATATATCATCCCTAGACCAAGTCCCCTTATTTTTCAAATCATGAATCTTGAAGAACGCCTCGGCATCGTACTGATCCATTTGATGTTCTTCAATCATATGCCAGTTTTGCCAGCTCAACCCATCAGGCTTTTTATTATTTTGATTATGATCTCCATGACCTGCTACCTGAGTAACCAAGTATGCCAATAAATAACACGATATCTTCATAATTGATCTATATCTTTTCGATTAAATGATCAACTATTAGAAACTACTGTTGACTATAAGGCCGATCATATTCACTTTAAAGCACGTGATTTTATTCAATGTATTAAAAGGTTCCTATTATGACCACGTTTGAATTTAGTTTACAGTAGTATATACATCTATTGTATTATGAGTGATGGTACAGGGTCTGTTAACCCCAATTTACGTGTTAAATGTGCTGAATCGAGAGTTGGAAGGGAAAATCAGAGATATAATCCAGAAACTAGCGCAAGAATAGTTGCAGGATGTATTTGCATGAATGATACCAAAGATAAGGTCATAATGATTCTGTCTACTTCTCATAAGAACAGATGGGTATTTCCTAAAGGAGGAGTTGAGCTCGATGAAGGGGATGATTTTGTTGTTAGTGCTGTCAGAGAAACCTGGGAGGAGGCCGGTTGTGAAGGAAAGATATTGAATAAGCTACCCGTTGCATTGGATTCAAGAGGTAAGAAGGCACCAGTTTTGGAGAAGGGGAAAGACTTTGATCCAAAAGGGGTTATACCCAAGTCGGAATTCCATTTTTATGAAATGGTTGTTGATCAATTAAGTTCCAAATGGCCAGAACTGGATAAAAGACAGAGAAGATGGTGTACATATTCGGAAGCGAAACATGAATTATTGAAAGCAAAACGGCCAGAATTGGTTGAAGCTTTAGACAGCTCCTGTGTTATCAAGGATGCCGAGGGAATCGCTGGTGTCGACGAATATTAATATTGTATTATATGTATGTTTATGTACTTGTGTGTTTATATACTTATTTGAATAAACCACCCATCAAGTTTGCCAACATATTTTGACCACCCTGAGGATTGCCTAAGCTTAAACCAAAGTATAATCTGCCTAAATATTCAACTGGTCCTAAAGACTCGAACTTCACTAATAGGTTCTTATATTCGTCGTACAACTTCATAAATTTCTGACCTGCATTCTCTTTGGTAAGAGTAATGGATAATAATTGTAAAAAGTTGACAAATTGATAATTAGGATCTTGGTAATAGTAAATTTTTGATTCGCTTTCTTCGATAACTTCGTAGTCTTTATGGTTGACTATGAGCTTAGACATAAACTTATTAATGGATTCTTGCACAAACTTAACGTTTTTCAAGTACGAATAATTAATAACTGCTCTGCTCATAAAAATACCTGGATCCACGTCATTCTTGGACTCTTCGAACCATTGGTAAAGAAAATCGATATAAACCGGCAAGGATTCGTGTGTACCTAATATTAAATGAGATTCTGCGTATGCAAATAACTTCTGCCTGTCATCTTCAGTAAGGTTGTTTGATTCATCCTTGACACTATTCAAAAACTTAGTTCCGAAAGTATGATGCAAATCACAATCGCCAAACTTCAGTTTATCAGTTTGAGACCAACTAATACTATTTTTTGCTAAGTCCGGTAAACTTGGGTCTGTGTCTGGTAACAAGCTAATTAATTCAATTAATTTCAATTTGTAGTCCTTATTATTTCCTTCGTTGGTACATTTGATATCACTCTCTTCATACACGTTAATCAAATAACTTATCAAATCACTGGCTGATGCATATTCTTTATTTGATGATAAAATAGACGACCCTTGGTATAATAAATCAATTGCCTCACTATATTGATTCGACTTGACATATCTATTGGTAATTGTTCTCAAAGTTTGATGTGCTTCATAGTAGGCACCACTTTCTATTTTCGATTTGAAACGAAGAATAGTTCTTTGTAATTTAGCGTCACTCATATCCTAGTAGTCTCCTTTGTTTCGAATTGTATACAATCGTATCAATAGAAACCTATTTGGTGTTCTAAAAAATCTCGAAAACTCAGTTGTGCATAAAACACAATTTATGTTACGGGCATTTTGCATCTATATTTCCATTAAGGTACGATCCAACAGCATAGTAAAATGTTCTGATCTTCATACTACAGTGTATTACATACTGAAATTTCTAATCCTAGATTACTCCCATATTTGGGTGTTTTTTTTTTTCAAGATCTTCGTCAATGATTTGAAAAAACTTCTGAAGACCGATTGCATTAAAGATCAAACTTTGATAAATTTTGAAGAGCATAAGGTAATGAATTATTATTGAATTAGAGTTATTGGTGACTACCTTCAAATATTGTTAGTTGCATTTTTAATATATTTGATGCTTTTATACTCCGAATATACTTGAACTTCGAGCAGCCTAATACTTTTAGGCCGTAATCTTCGCATGCTTCGTAGAAACTTGTATTGGAGTTTCCATCCATTAATAATAGTGTAACAGCTGTTGTTAATATTGGTAATGATAATAATAATATACATGTGAAGAATATAATAGAAATATAGAAGTGAAAGAACATTTGGTGTTTCTACAAAAGAAAAGAATTTCGGAAATTAGTTTTTAAATGTTACCATATTTGCAAAAATACTACTTGATTCGGAATACAATTTTTTCAGCATGTATTTCCCCGTTAGCAAACAACTCCAACGCAGTGTTAACACTTGGAAGACCCGGCTCCAAAACTCTTAAATTGGTGGTTATAAGTTGATCAAAGTGCTTGGGCAAAACATCGAACCAAAAGGTTCTGAAATGGTCAAGTAACTCAGGTGTGGTCTTGATTGGGTCCCCATTTTGAAATTGGGAATCACATATTGCTAGGTGAACAAACACCCTCTTAAACTCAACATTTCGACTAGGGTCTAATTTCAAAGCAGTAGAAGAAACTAAATACACATTATCAATAATTGCATTATTGACTGTAGCATCGTAAACCCCTTGAAACGTAGGAACGCTTCCTACTGAATCCAATCCATATTTAATGTTATTGTCGTAGCTTTTGATTTTTTGAATAACATCCTGATCGTGATAGTCAAAAACGGCATCAGCGCCCAAATTAGTCAAGAAATCCTTATTGCCAGGTGAAGCAGTCGTAATAACTTTCAAGCCGTAGATTTTTTTAGCTAATTGAATTGCAATGGTTCCAACAGTTGTTGCACCTCCCCATATCAATATGGTTTCATCAGAATAATCACGATTGGCTTCAAGCCCTAATTCATGACAAAATGAAACTGCTGCAGTAGCAAGCGAAAAGTTCTGCGAAGCTGCACTTTCAAAAGAATCAACTGGACCTGCTTCATACGGTCCAGGCTTCAATGCATTGGTTTTGAAAGATGCCTTATCGTGCTTTATAACAGCAGTTTCAGTAACAGAAACGAATTCACTAAATGCACCTTCAACTCCATACCATTCTCCTGCGACAAATGCGGAGACGTAATCTCCCACTTGAACTTGTGAAACTTTACTACCAACTTCATCAACAATCCCACTTAATTCACATCCCACGATATTTCCATCCTTAGGAACCTTATTTGCAAGCAATAAGTAATCAATCTGATTAACAGCTATTGCAACCGTTTTTATCAAGATACTTGAATCTGAGACCTTTGGCTTGGGTACTTCCACAATTCTAGTGGAATATGGACCATCACTAACCTTATTAGCTACAGCAGCTTTTATCGAAGACATGATATTGCTATTTATTAAACCTCAGCAAGTTGAAAGTGTTTGGAACTGTGTCCTTATATACTTATGAAATATTAATGCTCTATGGTATATTGGCACATGACTTTTCCGGATTAATCGGACTACAGACAACAATTCTAGGCTTCAACTGCAAGAAGAAGTAATACCTTGCAATTAAACTCTTGAAAAAGAGAGTTTAAAGGTAAATGAAATGACCAATGGTAATTATATGCCAAGACTTATTTTCATGGTTGTTCAAAAGCACAAGAATTTAATTTAAGTGTTATTGAATTTATAATCAGAGACTTGGGTGCAAAAATGTTCGACAAGAAGCAATACATATAATGCCGACATATAGACATATTTTATATTGCAATACATCTTATCTATAGAAAACTTGAAAATCTCTCCAAAGATAAGTATTAATTTACAGATTTATGCCTAACTCTAGCCTAATGTTTCTCATTGTCTTCAATGCATCTTTTGAATGGAGCCACCTTTGATGGATAGCTCCCTGAGATCCATAATGAGAACCAACTGTTTTAGTATGTAAATATCCACTCAATTCATCATGCATAACAATAAATAATGGTTTATCGTTTCTGAAGCTTGAATTACCTTCCTGAAAGGCCTTGATCCAAGTGTTAAGTTTTAGGGATGAGATGTTATCAACGACAAGCAACCGTAAAGTGGGAAAATGGAAATTATATATAGTTTTATGAAGAGCCGAATTAACCACGCTCGAATTGAATATCAACGAGAAATCTACTTTTTCTAGTTCTATAGATTTCAATGATTTCCTGAATTTATCAAGAAGTTTGTACATGATAAGGCCAAATACGACTAGGTCCTTTTTTCTTTTGAAGTTATATTTTTCATACTTCGAAACAACTTGGGTTGAGAAGTATTCCCTGTATGTAATTATAGGCTTTCCCTTTACAAGGTAGAAATTGCTATGAATCCTTGTTTGCATTATTGGGTTATCAGAATACACTTGAAAGTTTTCGAGTGCCGTATTAGTATTCTTGCTCTCTATGGCTTGGAGGATAGAATTAAGTTCCTGGTAATTATTAAAGCAAGGTTCTTTATAGTCAATAAACAACGAAAGTGACTTAAGGCTTTCAGGCAAGAAACAAAAATAGAGCAATAATTTGATATGTCGTCCTCGTATATTGAGGGTATGTAGAATCCGGAACTGAGGCAAATACAAATGTAATAGCAGGTCAAACTTAGTTAACTTAAATGGTTCAGCAAATTCAGAAGCTGGCACTCCTTCTTGTTGTTTATATTTCTTATAAAACAAACTGGAAGACGTAACTATGTTTAATGCCCTTGTATTGTCCCTAATTGACCTTTGAGACCCAATATACTTCATGCATTTCGAGCCATGCTTAAAACTTTTCTTCAAATTAAAGAAATTGAATAAACTAACACTGTCATCTTTAAGAATCAATGGCCGTATTGTATACACCATATATATATAGTTCTCATATAGCTCCTTGCATGTATAGAGCATGTTTAACAAATCGGTATTGGTTTCACTGGCTTGGTCGCAGTCTTGGCTTTTTGTACAAACAAAATAAAAGACCCTTCTAATAACCCCCATTGGAAGGTCTAGAAATTTCATTTTCTTTCTTAGGTTCCTGTTTGTATTGTATATGATCTGGTGCAATTTAATTCGGTAAAAATTAAAGATATATGGTATGTCAACAATTTGCAGCTATTCAAATTTGCCCCGAATGAGCTTTTCTTTAAATTTTTTTCACTTCTTACTTTCAATTACTAACAATCAAAATATTTCTGTATCTAAATTTCAAATTACAACGTTATCCTTTCTATCGTTGAATCAGGCCTCGTTTGTGGTCATTATAGGTTTATAAAATCATATAATTGATGTGCGGCGGAAATACTTCTGCCACTTTCTTACGGGTCACAAAAATGTTCCTGGAGTAAACCGGAATCAACCGATTTTTAACCAACCAATATACTCATATATAGATATTACATTCCTTCAAGTACAACGAAATATAGTTATTAAAGACATAATGAGACCAGCTGCTAGATTATTACAACGTGTTCCCCTTATCAAATTCGTTGGTGGTCCACACCCAGCTCCAAGTAAGTAAATTTGGTTCTAAATTTCAGCAATGAGGATATTGAGAATTGATGAAATGACTCCAATGAAACCTTTGAAGGCCATCCATACGTCGAATTCGCAATGAGAGAGTAATACTAACGCCTTTTTCTAGAGAATATCTCACATGCTGCTAAACCACATCCATGTGCACCAGATGGAGCATTACCAGGAAGTGTCGGCTCGTCTTCGCAATCATCGTACTTCAACAGTAATCCTATAGAACCAAAAGATGGTGAAGCTTTCTCCAGAGCCGAATTGCCTGCAAGATTCAGATATAAGGGTCCTAGTGAAGCCGAAATTGAAAATATTACCAGTGGTGGTGCTGCGCTCATTTTTTAATTTGTCAGACCAGTACATGTTGAGTGAGTCCATGGTCGACCTACATGGTGGTTGATGGCTATTAGGGTCAAAAAGACCCTAGCTAGTACTAATTGAGACTGCTATTTTTTCACGTTTGATCAGGTTTGTCATTATTGAATCGACATTAAAATTCCATCTAAATTTGTATTTCTTGTATGCATATATATTCCAATATCATTATATTTATCCCATGAGTGTTCTTAATGTATAGTAGCCTTCGTATTGCAAGAAACTAGCCGTAAGGTTCAATGTGGTGAAGGTTTCCTATCACCGGTGTATGGATCTTCTTCATTTCATAGTAGATGTTTATGTAATCAACAAAAAACCTGAACACGATTTTGTTTGCCACTCCATCTAAAGAACAGTACTACTATCAATATTTTTACCAATTGATACGTATTACTGTCCATTGAAGTGTTTTATTTGCATAGAATTGTTTCTTCTTCTGGGTCTGTATAAATAAACATTAAAAACGCATAAATAAAATGAACCACGATCCTTTCAGCTGGGGAAGACCTCGTAACGAAGTCTACGGACAATATAATCATCAAATAGCTAATGCAACCATCAATAATGATGCTGATAGCGGCAACTTAACAAATTTTCCTAAAATGAATACTCAGCAACCCATAATCACCGGTACGTCAGTAGTGTCGTTAAAATTCAAAGATGGAATAATTATGGCCGCAGATAACTTAGGGTCGTACGGATCGTTACTCAGATTCACCAATATGGAAAGATTGCTTAGAGTGGGAAAAGAAACAATTGTTGGTATTTCCGGAGATATCTCTGATATGCAACAACTTGAGAGATTGTTAGAAGAATTAGAGACTACAGAAGAAGTTTATGATAACGATGGAGGACACAATTTGAGAGCACCACATGTTCACGAGTACTTATCTAAAGTTTTATATAATAGAAGATCGAAAATGAATCCATTGTGGAATGCTCTTGTTGTTGGAGGATTTAACGATGATGGCACTCCATTTTTAAAATATGTTGACTTGTTGGGAGTTACCTATGGTTCATCTGCGATATCCACTGGGTTTGGATCGCATTTAGCAGTCCCATTATTAAGACAGTTAGTTCCAAAGGATCCTGATTATGAAAACGTCACAGAAGAACAAGCCAGAGATGCAATCTTGAATTGTATGAGAGTTTTATTCTATAGAGATGCTAGGTCTTTAGATAAGTTTTCATTAGTTACTATAAAGAAGGGAGAGGAATTAAAGTTCGAGAAGAACTTGAAATGTGATAACCAAAGCTGGAAGTTTGCTCAAGATATCAGAGGATACGGTAGTGCTCAACTTTAATGCCGTCTTTGATCTGTTTAACACTCATATTTAAGTTATTACCACCGTTACAAATATAAGTAATAATTGTCACATCAATTGTAGTATATCAATATGTATATACTGTAAAAGAACATAAGTCATTTAAGTATAGAACTTTTGACTACCTTTACATCCATCATTTACTCTTTATTGTATAACTTTTACTCTTTATCGACTTTGCGTAGTTTTGCCTACTTAAAAATTAGGTGTACTTTCTATCCCCACAAGTCTCACACAAACTCAGTACTTAATTAATTCTTGTTCACTTGCCAACCTGCCTCCAATTCCCTGTAATTTAGGATATAAACAATCTATCATTTAATTTTTAGAATACTAAAGAACAGAGTGTGATATTTATAGAATTCCTATAGATACAAATCTCTTACCGGTCATCACAGGTTGAGGGTCAGTTTTGTTGCGAGTAGCAACTTCGTCATCAAAATCATATTGACATGAGCTTTGAAATAACATTCTTAGGGGCTTCAGGTGGTCCTATAGAAGGAGTTACATGTTCAATGTTATTAAAACCAAGTAGTGTATCTTATAATGATATTTTATCGAATAATTTACCCAATGAATTGATCTGCATTGATGCTGGCTCTGGTATCGGGCTGCTAAGTGAATTGATATATAATGAACTGCACGATATATCACCGCTATCTAGACAACTGCGAATTTATAATAATATGCTTTCGTTGGAGCAATGCTTTAAGACTAAGATTACCAGGCCGTTTGCAGAGTTGTCTAATTCAATATCTCCCTACGAACAGTCGCAAGAAATATTTAAGCTGATGAACAATTACTTGATATCTCATGCTCATATGGACCATATAGCTGGATTGGTGATAAATTCTGCTAGTTTTTGCCAGGAGTCTCCAAAAAATGTGTATGGCTCCAAGGGCACTATTGATGCTTTGCAAAGGCACATTTTCAATGGATTAGTCTGGCCGAACATGGCCAAATTCAACATGGTTAAACTATCATCACATGAATACTGGCAGACATTTTCTATAAATGACACTTATTCAGTAACTATATTTGATCTTTCGCATGGTAAAATGCTTTCTAATGATGAGAAGACTTCCCAGAGAGCAGAATCGCCCAACTACTTACATAACAGTTATGATGACAATTTTGAAAATTATCACAACTACATTTCGTCTGCATTTTTGGTAACACATGAATTGTCTAATTCAAGTGTGCTAATATTTGGAGATTTCGAATCTGATGCTGTTTCGAGGTTGGGTAAAAATAAACGGATCTGGTGCAAAATTGCACCCATGTTTCTACAACCTGAGAAACAATTGAAGGGAATTATATTAGAGTGTTCGACATGCCAAATAGTTTCTACAAATGAATTATACGGGCATATAATGCCTACACATTTGATTAATGAATTACGAGCTTTGAATGATGAGATTTTAGCGATACTACCTTCTTCCAGCAGGCAAAATGTAACCCCGTTGGCTGGGTTTAATGTTGTGATAAATCATGTTAAGGAAACACCTAATCTGTCTGATCCAAGACGAGAAATACTCCACGAACTTGAAGTTCTTAATGATAAGTATAAATTAGGAATTCATTTTTCTATTGCCCTTAACGGAGCATCGATTGTACTTTAAAGATAAAATATTCATCCAATTATATTGTATTGATTTACGTATCATAATTCTACATGTAATTTTCTTATATATATATTTATTTCTAAACTTTTCAAAGAAAGCTATAAATACTAGATAAATCAGAAATTAGATACAAAGAAAATTTCGAAGTTAATAAAATCTATTTGATAACATTGATTATACCATAGTAGTGAGGACTACTGCGCCCTTTTTTTTTTGTTCATGAGCATTAGCTAACTTGGTATCCGTCAGATGATAAATTAGAATGTAAATCGAACGGCAATGATTCTTCATCCTCATTATTGGACACAATATCAAGAACTTGAACTTTACCTAAGCATGTGTCAGTTTCATTCGCATCTGTCTTATTGATATCGAATTGAAGCTCCATTGGGAACAATGAATCTTCGTCAGGCGAAGGAATAGAAAATTCAAAAGATCCTTGAGGATCATCTAATGAAATTGATTCAATGGAAAATACAACACCGTATTCAGTAATATCATAAGCAATGTTGCCTGATTCATCTTTCAAATTAACATCGGGTGAAGGATATGGTACCAAGATCTTAATATTCTCTAATGAGCCTTGACTTTGATGAGACTCGACATACTCAGATGTTAATTCGTATTCTAAAGTAACATCTGCATTTCCATCATTCGAAGTAACCCAGGCAGTGATAACAATTGGCAATAAACTTGAATCATCATTTTTACCAACGGCTCTCCATCTTAAGACACCTAATGATTGATCGTTCGAAGGGAATGGCTTAGTCTTATCTTTTAATCCAATAACATTCTGTTGCGTGAATAAATTACGGTCAACGTTAGGGTGAGTCTTGTATTGAACACCACTTGATTTATCACCAGTTTTCAATAAAATTTTAGAACTTGCTAATTCTGGATTATTGATTCTTAATTGCAAATCACCTTTAACTTCGGACAGGATAACGGAACCTTCACGAGTTAACTCAGCAGTAACCTTTTCATTAACAGTAATTAGGATACCATTGTTTGGAACCTTTGGAGCTTGTGGAGCTGGTGAAGATGTTTGCGAGGCTGGGAAAGATGCCGGTTGATTTGAAATTTGAGGTTGTGCTTGGGTGGCAGCAGCATGACTAAAACTTGGTTGATTTTGGGTGAGCAAAGGTTGGTTTTGTTCCGCAACTCTGCCAGTTTTCTTTCCCAATTGTAATCCACCTCTAGATGATACAGGCTTTGAGCTTAATGTCGTGTTTGAAACCTGCTCGATGCTTGGTGTTGGTTGGTAAGTCGATTGGTTAGATGAATTGAATTGGTTCTGATAAGACTCATACCCAAAGGACGAATTTATTATTGGCGCCGATGATTGCTCCAAGTTACGACGAGCTAACTCCTTTCTCTGGATTTCTTTTGCGCGTCTCTTTCTTTCTTCTGTAGCCTCTAACTCCTTATTTCTTTCAATGATTTCTTGGATCTTTTCTTCATGAGAATCCATTTCTAAGAATGTTTGAACTTGGGATAAAGTTAAGTTTTCCTTGAACCCCAAGTTGATAATTTCATCGAACGCACTTAAAATTTGAAATGCATTTTCAAAAATCTCTCTCTCGTCAACCAACCTCAACATGTTACTGACAGTCGAAGCAAATAAATGCAATGTGTCGATGTCCTGCAAGATATTCGAGTGCTTGGTTGTAATCAAAACTATGTAAAATTCTTCCAACGGTTGATAAACATATCTAACGTGTTCATCTTCTACCGTGGTATGTTGTGACCCAGAATTCGAAATCAAACTTGGAAAATTTGCCAACAATGCAGTAATTCTATCCTTAGTGACATCTCTGAATTGTCTTGATAAAAGAGCTTTGCCACCACGAGTGCATATTGATGCAGCTAAAACAACCATTCTGTTATTTATTTTAATCTATTAAAAGTTGAAAAATACTATTTTAGTATAAAAATGATTTAGAAATCAGCTCAACGAAATTTTTTCTAGATTAAATTCAATTATTCCACTCCAACAATCTTTCGAAATACAAGTATTTACTTATTTCCTATCAATTGAAGTTGTATTACTCCAAGCTAATTACTTTGACACTGTTTTTTCTATTGGATCCCATTCGATTCGTGTCAACAAAATTTATAAGAGTAGTCGTGCGAGAACCGCTTTTTGGGTCATATTGAACAAGATACCCAATTTAATCCAGTTTAACAAGTGTTTTAACTAAGAGTCCGTTATGGGACATTATGATATCATGCATGTATGCTAAGATGTTAAGAGAGAAGCTTAAACACTTCAAAAATTATTTGACAGAGCTAAAGAAAAAAATAAAAAGAAAGGAATTGACACGGACAGGAATTGAACCTGCAACCCTTCGATCTGGAGTCGAAAGCTCTACCATTGAGCCACCGCATCACCCTTGAAGTAAAGTGAAACACACGAGTATAATTATACATATATTGTGTAAATATATGTACAATATTCAAAGGATAGACATGTCAGTGGTTGCAAAGAACTCTCTGATGGTACGATATTTGTTATTATTTGCAAAGGTGAAGCTTCAATGGTAGGGCAATTGTACTACTATTATGTTTCGTTTATTTCTCTAGTCGAGAAACAGAGAAAGGATATTGCGAATCAAGAAGGTTCTTAGAAAAACCACTAGAACCCTGTTTTATATATAATACTTAAATATACCAAACATCTGTGGTTGCTAATATAATATAATATACTAATGAGCCATGTATGATATTGAGAAGCTTGGGAAGTAATATAGTAAACTTAGTCAACCGATAGGGTCTTGAAGTGAGGAGGGCGGTACAACGCAGAAAACAAATTAAAAGTGAATGGAGAAAGATATATCACCTCTCCATCCCAGTTTTCTTCTTTTCCTTGACCGTTGAAGATATAAAGCAAATTTAAGGGACATTTTTGGTATCTGAGAATCATATTAACAACAAGAAGATTACACTGAGGAATTAACGAACCTAAATTTTACATCATAAAATACTAAATCAGTACATGAAAGAATGAATGAAGCCTTCTGTTTTCCGGTGGCTAATGGAATGATATGATGTTGCTGCTTTTGAGACACACAATATTGAGAAAAGATCTTATTACACGGATGAAACAATTATGATGCAAGTAGCATACCACATTTCTAGCCTTGCAGTAAAAATAGAAATCATAACAGGCTTATACATTCCTATCAGAAGAATAGACATTTGCAATCATTATTTACATATTGGATAGTAAAGAAAGTGGTTTAAATGAACGAGTCAAGTCCATTTAGGTATGCTTTGCTGCAACACCCATTGTACCACGCAATTGAAAAATGTATCGATAGGGGGGTTACAGATACTTATGATTATCGTGACTTTTTCTCTTCTTGGAATAAACCAATGGTGGATAACAAGTTACTTATACATGAATTATTTAGAGTTGACGAAATTAAACTAGATGTGTACATTGAGGAAGGCAATCCTGCTGCGGAATATCTGGATTTTTTAACCTTTATGAGACATGGTGATCAGG